TCAGAATCTTTCATGATAGGTGTTACATACCCATGTGAATTCGCCAGAGCAGTTTTAGGGAATTTCATCCCATTTTTGAATGTCATGCCATTTCAGGTGAAATCAAATCACGCTTGAAACATCTTGAAACCACATCTATTACAGTATGTCTTTCTCAAACTACCAAGTAAATGTGCCGTATTCGACCCATTTCAGGTACAAATTGGGGAACACAGCCACCACCAAAACGTTGAACTCCTGGGCTTCACATGTTTTTTGGGGGCAAAGCTCGACAGCTCCCCAGGCCCCCTCCTAACATCTATAAAACCACTGGATAGTTCCAGTAGAAATTGCAGATGTTGTATTATATCAATTATATACTTACATATATATACACATAGTATATATATATAATACATTTACTGTATTACTCATTACATAGATTAATTAACTTTCTTCACGTCCGACTGGTCAGGCTAGCCACCACAGTGACCACAGCACCATCTCCATTATCATTCAACAATTCAAAGGACAAACACCTTGCAAGAAACATGAATTTATAGACATCCATACATATCTCCTTCATTCTTCAACCAAGTACCACAATCATAGCTTGGTATATGCTGCTATACATATACATATATATATGTGTATATGTATACGTATATATATATATATATATATATATACACAGTATACATCTTCCCCAATTTCGAATGCTAGTTCCGTAATGGAAGAATGACGACCCAATCCCATTCGCCCCATTCGCCACTCGCCGCTTGGCCACAATTTTGCTGACGCCCGACTTCTTGGCCGCGTCCACCAAGGCTTTGGTGCCTCGGTGGTTATCCGATGCTTGGTACTGCGCTAGACTCCAGCCATCAAAAGGTGTAAAAATGTCTTCAACGTACTATTTAGACACAGGGGAACATATTACTCTTTATTGATTCTTGAACGGTCTCGTTAGAGGGGTTGCTGCAAAATCTCAAGTGGAGTGCATGTTTTTGGAAAGGGTTGTTTTCTTTTCCACGCCACTTAGGAGGAGAACACTATGTTCGTCTTTTCGTTTACAGTAACCTTAAATAAAAAACAAATCAATAAACGGACAATGTCCATGCAATGTTGCTGCGTTTTCACGAGGGAAATGGCGAAATGAATGGGCAACGTCACGTCACTAATATTTTTTTGTGAATATAAGGATTTTCCACCAATTTCTTGCCATATAAAAGGTGTTCATTTGCCAAATCTGAATATAATATGTGGACAAATTACATAAAACTCATAAAACAACAAACTCACCGTTATATCAGTTACAACATTATCACTATATATAGTATATCCCCACTCTATTCCCATAACATGGTTGGTCAATCCAGACGTTTTGTCTTTCCAAATGTAGTTCCCACATGTTCCCACTATAGTCGCTATAATTCATATTCTCATGTTTTTTTCCCCAGAAATCTCATAAACCTGTCCATCTAAAAAATAAATGTGTGGTTTGACTTTTGATCTCCCCATGCTGTTGGATGAACAGATGTCCACTGATGTTCCACCATTTTCCCATGATTCTCCGCAATTGTCCCATTCAGTTTCCACCATTTTCCGATAATGAATTGTCCACCAGCTTCCCACCATCTTACAATTTTCCATCCACATTTCCACCCAGCTTCTTCCAACAAATCGGGATTTTTCCCCAGTTTCCATCCGCATTTCCCCAACAAAAATTGCCAAGGTACCCAGGTTATCTACCGCATGCGCCTCCGCATTCATCGCGAAGGGATTGCCCGGGACGAAGCCCGTGGCAATGATCAGCGCGTCCGTGCCCGTGAGCGTCGCCGCCAGGGTGTCCACTGCGTCCTTGGCCACGTCCTGAGGGACGGTGGCGGTGGAAACCGTGGGTTTTTAAGGGGGTTAGCTATGGGTTAACCCAATTTTAACCGTGAAAAACGTAGTTTCTCCCGCATGGCTCAGCATATGGATAAACGGGTTGGAATGGGAGTTGGGATATCATCTGAAAGTTGGGCTCTTGAAGCAACAAGACCCAAAAATAGAAGGAAATAAGCAGTATTGAGGAGTTCAGCATGATTTTCTTGTGGTAAAAGCAGAAATCAAACAACAAATTTGAGTGTTTAAATGACATGTGGGACCCAAAATTATCATGGTTACTGGTCATTTTTGAAATAGGGATACTGCAGGTGAAAAGGATAACCCCAGAACAATTGGATGTTTAACTGTCAAAAAATGGGGAGTGTTGAACATTAAGGGAGGGTCAATCACACCAATGAAGTGTTTGTTCTGAATTTCACATTTGTTTACATGTTCCAAAAGAGGATCTACATGTGTTTAGCTGTAATTCAATTTGAATGCCACCTTGCGCTATGCACTATATAACGTGCAGCAATGACTGCATTTGCATCTATTGAGGCCCCTAATTTTCTTATTCATATCAGGTCAAATTCTGCTGGTGGTGGTATCGACAAAACCCCAGAAGAAGTATTGTTTTCCACAAACGATCAGTCAGTTCTCCGCAAATAGTGCTTTCACCCACAAAAGCTGGGATATCAGTCTATCATCCATAGCACCGATATTGAGATTTCAAATGCTTTCACATCATACACGGTTCACCCACAAAGACACAAGGAATTTTGAATGACGTACTCACACAAACATCCATCATTTCTCCAAGATGTTTGTTCAAATCAAGAGAGTGAGATTGCATCATACGACGGACCCAATAATTCTATTCATGGTTTTCATGTTACAACTTGTTACAATATGTACAGGTTTGCTTTGATTAGATCTAATTTAGATTATATATATCGAATCAAATTAACACGTATCTAGATCTATACATAGTGGGCCCCCACACGTTACAATAAGCTGGTTTATAACCCCATCTAAGTATAGATACATCCCCAACTTAGCTATCCAACAAGGACCCCACATTGTATTCACATATAAAGCAAAACTTCCGCCCCACCCATTTGTGTTATCCAACCATTGCACTATTAACATCAATCTACCATCTAGTAAAAATTCCCTACGTATATTTTACATCCCTAGCAAAAAACATCCTCATCATAAACATCCCCATGAAATGCTTGCCTATGAAACAATTACACAGTTTCTCCCACAATCACCAGTTATTTTTCACTGGAGTTTCCACTCGTATGCCGATTCTCTGCTATCATAACAATTGCAATCATGGCCCCATTTTTCGTATAAATATCCCTCATTATATCTCCGTCAAATACCATCACAGCATATTTCCATAATATATTCTCACATTCTCATTAACCAAAGTTTCCGTATAATTTAATCATCATTGAATTACAATCATCGTATATTGTCATTAATACAAAATAACTATCACCCAATAAATATAAAGTGACTTTGTCATTATATTATACAACTTCAAGATATTGTACAATTCTATCATCCTACAATGACGATATTATTGTCAATTACAATCATTCTACTATCATTCACCATAAGCAAACATCAGGTAAGCAACAGGGTAATGTAGGATTTTGACAGAAATGTTTGCTTGTATAATATATGTGTATGTATAATGGTTGTGATTACTGCTGGTACTCATCATTATCCACTTGTCACTATTAGTACAAAGCTTTTTTGAACATCATTCATCAATACCGGAAAACAAACAAAAAACACCAACAAATAACACAAACATCCAAACATTAAGAAAAAAACAACAGTCAAAACAATACTGGTTCATCAGTTGTATCCATCGATATCGCGATATATTTGATGCTTCACCCACTTCACCCCCCATGCATCATCATTGAACCCCCAACTAATCATCAATCAACAGGGGTAGGTCGTCTGACGCAGCCGCAGTCACAACTTGGTATTCTTCAAAACCCTGTGTCGTCCCTACGGGTTGCTTGATGAGGATTCCCCTTGAATGATTGGGATACTCCCCAACATATATATATATATATATATATATATTTGTATAAGTATAGTATCATCCCAAAAAAATCATCAACCAAAAAAATCTGTATAATCTCATATACCCTCCAGTAAATTAACATAGACCCTGGCAGATGGGGGTTGGACGATTAGTTTCCTCCAAACATTGGGATTCTCCATGATTCTCCAGTAACATTCGATGGCCGTCAGATGGTTTTTCTGGGACTGAAATTTATTTAGACCGAGCCATAGCCACTTTTTTCAAGCAATAAATGGACTGGGTGTTTGAACACTACTTGATACTTGTACTTACTCATATATATATATATCATTATGTACATATATATATAATATATTAATATTATATAATTCTATCCCCAAATTATTTCATTAGCTGAGGTTAAGCAACCACAATCACCACTTCAAGCTTCCAACGATATCAAACTATATCAACTGTATATATATATATATATGTTTGATGGTTCAGTGCCATCAAGATCCCATTATTCTTAGTAAAGCAATGTCAGAAACCACCCATATAAATTGATGGTTGGACTCACAACCATAAAAATGGTAAGTTTTTATGGCAAGTCATTGGGTATGGTGGATCCTATTGCTTTACCAACATTTGCTAAGCTTTAGCAGCCACTGCTCACTAATCATTAGTTGATAATAGTACTAGTTTCTTTAAACAAAAACAACATGTATACATATATGTATACCTTGCATCCCAAAAAATATCTCAAAAAATATCCCCATATGAAATCCCAATTTATCCCATCGCTTCAGCCATGACATCGCCAAAGTGTCCAGGGTCTTCAGCTCAACCCCCTTGGTATCCACTGCCTTCACCTCATCGACCATCGCCCCGCGAATGGCGATGGAACTCTTGCCCAGCTCGCCTCAGCATGGCGACTCCGATTTCATGCGCACGGAGATCTCAGCTAAACACATATCATTACACACGGTAAATACCATGAACATCTAAAAATGAACATCAAGATGATTCATTGTGTTTATATGTTTATTCATGATATAGTCAAGATTTAGAAATCAACTTCAATACATACCCTCCAGGTCAAAGACCTCGTAAAACTTGGCCTTTTAACTTTGCTGAAAAGGACCTACTATTACTTGATGAGGACCTACTATTACTTGGACCTTTTGGGTCCAAAGTTAAGGTGATGGCCATGGATGTCCAACAGTAATATATAAGATGCATAAACCCATAATTGTTGACCTAAATTTCAGGATAGCCACATCCCTTCACCGACCAAATATCCAATTTGCGGTTTATCATAGGGTACCCCACACTATTTTATCATTGGGAGTCCAGGGCTGGAACCACCACAAACGTATGGTTTTTGAATTATCAGGGGCCCAGAATCGCTAGCGTGAACCGAGCGTGAACCGAGCGTGAACCGGACCAACTATGACCGGCAAAAGACCAACTATGACTGGCAAAAGACCAACTATGACCGTGAACCGAGCGTGAACCGAGCGTGAAACCCTAGGAACCATTTTTTCAGTGTGGAAATTTCTGCCAAACATATAATTTCTTGAGGGGAAACGCCATGAATTTGCTTTGCATATGCTCCGGAATGTCAGCCTTAGTGGCTGTTCATTGCAACTTGGAAAGGCCCATTCAGGGCTATGATCTGTAGGTGATTGAATGCTTCCCAATCATGCATCAACGGTTTCAAATGGGGTTCAAGTCAAATTCAGCATTGATGGGAAAAGGGGCTGAGCTCTATAAAACCAAGTAAACCAGAGGACCTCGTAAAACTTGGTCTTTTGCAAAAGACCTCGTAAAACTTGACCTTCCGACTTGCAGGGATACAATCTTCATATAGATTAAATTGGTAGCGGTTCCCGGAGAATACAGCAGTTCCTGAAGAATGGATCGATTCTGAAGAAGAGGTCTTTCGAGTGTATTAACGTTCGAAGGTTTTTGTTGCGATGATAAATCGGTATTTGCATCGACTATATATCATCCCGTCTATTCATCCGTGATTTTCCAATGAAACAAATGAGGGCACACACCCAGAGTCACATGGGGATATGACACGCTACAGAACACTAAGCAAAACTCAAATAGAAAAAATGAAATTTTAGCCAGAACCATATTCAATGCACCTTTTTGGGTTTGTCTGAAATAGAGCACCCCAAAATCCAATAGACTATCATCATCTATAATCATCTACATTGATTGGCTACTTGGGGGGGGGACATGTAGAATTTTCAGGCGCCAAATCTCATGTTGTTGGTTCGATGTCCCATTAAAAACCACGATACATGCCACCATGTCCCATCATAGCAACCCCTCAAAAAAAATGCCGAAGAAACTTTTCCAGGATGTTAGATTAACCATAGATTAACCATAGATTAACCATTGATTGACCATTATTAACCAGTGCTTTCCCCTTTCCAACTTTTCCACTCTACGGCATCCATATCTAAAAACCAAGTGACTCTTTGCCTTGGTCACATCACGTACTCCACCAATCACCTTAAGGATGGTGGTTCTTTTAAAGGCATCTTTTTAAGGGTTGCTATAATTGGAATATGCATATATATATATACATATGAATATATATATATATATATATAATCTCGACCCCCTATTAATAAAGGTCCCCCTAATAAAAAGAATGCCGGCGCTCGGGACCATTTTTTTTTAATTGTTTTTCCATTCCGCCTATTGAAAACCAATACTACATGAGCCGAGAATAAATTAACACGCCTCGTCGAGCTTATTAGGGGGCATCCTAGCAGCAATCGAACTTTTCGAGGACTCCATCCGTGTGTGTGTGTGCACACCGTTATCACAAATGGTTCCATTTTCATCTAAAGCAGGGCTACTGGAGCCAATTTGCCTATCCAGTCCAACGAAGCTATGGCAGTACCCGCTTGAACTGTTGAATAAGCGGGCCCGCAATGCCCTCAAGGGGTCAAAAAACATTACTGCTACTGCCACTACGACTGCTACTACCCCTACTACCACTCCTTTCGCTACTGCTACTGCTAGTGCTGCTGCGACTGCTCGTGCTACTGCTACTGCTACTACTACTACTACTACTACGACTACGACTACGACTACGACTACGACTACGACTACGACTCTTAGAATTGTTTGGTTCTTTACTGCCAATTGTGTCAAGTGTTGTGCATGGCCAGAAAAGGGTCTGAAACAGTCTGAAACAGGTCTGAAACATCCACATCTCCAGGATCTCAGCCCGGGTCTAGCTTTTACCAATATTGTCCTAGTTTCAGTCTTCAAATTTCCATGTCTGTCTGTTTCACCTCTCGTCTCTTGTAGATGCCTTTCTGACTTGTTGCTTTTTCCCCTTCCACGCGACCTTTTGCCCCTTGGTCGCAAATGACAGCGCACTCGTATGTTCAAGGGGGCCCTCAATGCCGTGAAGGGGTCCGAATACATTACTTTGACTGCTACCACTACTGCAACGACTACTACTACTACTACTACTACCACTACTACCACTACGACCACTACTACTACTACTACTACTACTACTACGACTACTACTGGTAGAATTGTTACTACGAAGCTATGGCATTTCGGTGGATGAGTGGTCTGATCAACCACTGGTACCTGCTTGAACTGTTGAATAAGCTTTTCTTCTCAGGTTGTTGAGGTATATTCCGACAGGTTGGATTTTCGATTTTCCTCACAGTGTGTGTCAATGAAATCGTGCTTGTGACTGTCGGTGCAACTGTCTTTCACATGCAAATAACGCTAGTACTAGTACTAGTAGTGGTAGTCGTAGTAGTAGTAGTAGTAGTAGTAGTAGTAGAGTAGTAGTAGAGTAGTAGTAGTAGTAGTAGTAGTAGTAGTAGTACTAGTAGTAGTACTAGTAGTAGTAGTAGTAGTAATTAGTAGTACTAGTAGTACTAGTAAAAGAAGAAGTAGTGGTCGTAGTAGAAGAAGTTAGTTTCTTGAGGTTGAAGTCCCTACTTAAATAAACAGTCTGAAACAGTCTGAAACAAGTCTGAAAATGCACTAATTATTCGAATGAGACAAGGTCGGGGGGGGGCCGACCGGTTTGCTTTGATGCCTTAAGAAAAAGTCCATGTGCTGCTACTGGGCTTTCTTTCATTCCTTTACTCCTGGCTTCTTTGCCCCCCTTCCACATGTTCCTTTGTCCCTTGGCCGAAAGAATCCAAACGAAAACATTGGTTTGAAGGGGAAGCATGCTGCATCGAAGGGGCGTCGTGGCAGTTGTGATCATCGTCACGAAGGTAGTAGTGGTGTAATCAGCCTTGCGTCAGTGGTGGAATCAGATTCAGTTCTGATCATCGTCAAGGCGGGTAGTCATTTACACCCAATGCCTCAGTAGTAAACGTCGTGGTCGTAGCATCGTAAGTATCACTAGTAATAGTATCCGTACTAGTAGTACGAGTGGAAGAAGAAGTAGTAGTAGAAGAAGTAGTACTAGTTGTCGTACTAGGAGTAGTAGTACTAGTAGTGGCAGTGGTGGTCGTAGTAGTACTAGTAGTAGTAGTAGTAGTAGTAGTAGTAGTAGTAGTACTAGTAGTACTAGTAGTACTAGTAGTACTAGTAGTACTAGTAGTACTAGTAGTACTAGTAGTACTAGTAGTACTAGTAAAGAAGAAGTAGTGGTCGTAGTAGAAGAAGTCAGTTTCTTGAGGTTGAAGTCCTTTAAAAAAACACTCTGAAACAGTCTGAAACAAGTCTGAAAATGCACTAATTATTCGAATGAGACAAAGGGAGGGGGGCGCACCGGTTTGCTTTGATGCCTTAAGAAAAAGTCCGTGTGCTGCTACTGGATTTTCTTTCATTCCTTTACTCCTGGCTTCTTTGCCCCCCTTCCACACTAGCCTTTGTCCCTTGGCCGATAATACAAACGACAAAATTGGTTTGAAGGGGAAGAATGCTGCATCGAAGGGGCTCATGGCAGTTGTGATCATCGTCACGAGGATGGTAGTCGTGTAATCAGCATTGTGTCAGTGGTGAAATCACAGTTTCAGTTGTGATCATCGTCAGAGTCTTTCAGGCTTTGCATGTGAAGGTTTGGGGGCATGTAAGGATTTTGTAAGAGTAGTAGCCATTGTCGTCGAACGAGAGAAAAAATATATAATTCGTTGTGCTGCTATGGCGAGGGTAGTGATGGTCGAAGCAAGCGTGGTAGTAATCGAAGCAGTCGTAGAACATGCCAATGCGAGGCAAACATGGCCAAACATAATATGGTATCTTGGTAGCTTCATCATAAGAACTCCTGCAAATTCAAAGAGAATCAGTCATCAGGCAACATAATTTATTACAACAGATAGCACCACTCTGAAACACCCCCCTAATAAAAAGAATGCGTTCCCAAAATTTCGAATTTTATTATTAGGGGGGGGGGAGGGGGGGGGGCCCGTTTATTAATAGGGGGTAGGGATTATATTATAATAGTAATAATAATGATAATAATAACAATGATAATAGTAATGATAATAATCTGACAAAAATATATATATATATACCTGAACCCTCCAATGGGGTCACTTTTGACTCATGACCTTCAAATTTTAGGTCGGACCTAAAATTTTAGGTCGGAACGAAAATTTTAGGTCGGATTGCTTGTGATACTCAAATTTTAGGTCGCAAGAAAACATGAACAAAAAGATCCAAAACTTGAGATCGCCCATCCTGAAATCTAGCAACAAACTTGTTTGCACTATGGAAGTGCCCAAATACGGGTGGCATTGACCCAAACAATGTTTGATTGGTTATTTGTGGGCACTCCATGCGGGTAATTTTAAATCCCAGTGGATACAACACCATGGATAATGATGTGACACATGCACACACATGCATGTGCGAAATGTGAGTACAACAGGATTGAAACATTAAACACCCTTATTCCCAACAGTCATATTGTCACCTTCGTTGCTGTACTTTTGTGCAAAAACATTGGCTACCTTGACTTGTTCGCTTGTTTTCTTGCAAATATGTTGACCTCTTAATTTGTTTCCTGTTGAACTTGCGAGTTCTCTTCAATATGTTTGTTCTAGTTTGATTGTATGAAAACCCATGCATTTTGCGTCTGATCTGGTGTGGTGTGGTATCCGGGTTTTGCAACTTCCACCCATTGTTTTAGTTTTAATATGCTTCAATATGTAGCATGGCTGGTGGTGCAAGAACATTCCTACCGCTATATCCTCCGCGAGGCAATGTTGCACGTGTTTACCTCAACAGCTACGCCCATGTATGCTCATGTATGACCATCTATGCCACTAAGAGTGCATGTTCATTCAATCTGCATTGCCAACTGTTTTACTAGTTGTTTGCATCCTCTTCACCCATCTTCATACACTTTTGCGTTCACAACCTGCCCAAACTTTTAAACTTGACGCAAACTTTGTATCTGGCCTGTGCGGAGGGTTTTCATTGACAGCCTCATGGGTTGAGAGCTATTGTTTGTATTCAGCAGCCGCTGCTATTTGACGTGTGTTCTTCACAGAAACCAACTCCACTATGTATAGATAGGGCCTTGTTGTGTGCGGCCTGGGCAAGTGCAATTAGTTCACCACATATGCTCTGTGGGGAAGCAAAGTGCTCCAAAAAAAGCAATTCCCGTATATGGGCTTCAGATACCATCATAAATATTTCAGACATAGTGACAAAAATGCAAAAGGTGATAGACAAAGGTAGCTTTCAACGTCAAACTCAAATCAACCGGGCCACTCATCTCTATGTATGTTTCCTTGTTGATATTATAGAGACCGAACGTGCCCAACAGATTCAACAAGTACACGTCGTTCAATGCTACAAACAAAAAGCAGAAGGAAACCACAGTTTCCAATTTCTGGGACCCAACCAAGTTCGACGGACAACAAATCATATACATCCAAGAAATTGGCGGCAGCTTTCAAAGGGTAGGGCACCAAAGCAAGGACATTGACTAAACATTGCTAAACAATGTACCCAAAGCAACGATGGAACCATTGATATCGCTTGAGATCACTACAATAGAAACCGGTAGAAAAAAAACATCGTGACGAGGTACAGGGCTGTTGAATGTGACCTTTGGATAGTTGATGTTTATTGGCCACAGTGGGATGGAGCACGGGGGGAAGACCCAGTGCAAGTTTCAGGGATTGTCCTTTGCTTTGCGCAAAGTCAAAGGAAGGTGGCTTTGGTTGTATGTAAAGAGATGCAAAGTGCATTGTGGATTAGGCTATATAGGGCAACCACCACTTTTTCCAAACTAACGGTGGCAATACTTAGTTGACCAGAACTGACCGGACAATATTTGAGAACACAGCGAAAATTGCTACAAGAAGGTCCAAGAGCACATTAATCTAGTCAAACCAGATTCATTGAAGAGAACCAAACTGGGTAGCGCTGTTGAAAGTAAGTAGCCTTGAAGCAATAAACATATTGATGTACGATGTTTTGTCAGTTTCTGCACCTATACATGCCACTTTGCTTGCTATACTATTTCACTGACACATGAGTAAACCTTGAGCAGGCCAGCAGTGCTGCTGTTCGTTGGTGATCGGTCTCTTTTGCCCTCAAGTAACCCCGTTTCTTATTTTGGCAAACCAATAATCACTCCAGCTTGAAAAGATTGGCATGGAAGTCTACACTTTTGCGGCCAAAATTTCCACTTTCTGAGCTGGCCTTGCTGCTCAAACCAAACCCAAAGGATCTGGTGAAACAATTTCGCTGTGGTTTCCTTTTCAGAATCTGATTGCTTTTGTTGAAATACTGGCCTGACCAAAAAATGCAAAGAAAAAAATCAAATCGCCTACTCACCGCTCAGACCTCATTTTCTTTACGGCAAAAAGCAATTCAATCACAGCTAGGTGCCTGACAAGACAACACAAGAATGAGCTGAAAGCCCAGAACTTGCGTAAGAAAGCCAAGAATACGCGTAAGAATGCGTAAGAAAATCAAAGCCGCTCAAAACCCCGGTTGACTGCAGAAAAGCACCGCGTAAGAATGCGTAAGAAAGCCAAGAATTTGCGTAAGAAAGCCAAGAATTTGCGTAAGAATGCGTAAGAATGCGTAAGAAAATTTTGGCCCCTCGAAATGTACGATTTTGATCGATTTTGGATATTTGGACTTGGTGGTTGCATTTGATCTGTTCAAAAGCTCAACTCCCATTCCTGACTCGGTTTTTTCGAATTGATCTCAAGCTCTGTCCTAAATCACGAACAGGAACTTCAAAATCGAGGGCCTTTAGAGTGGGCAAGTCTCATTTCTAGTGCGGCAACCTGTGCCACCACGATGTCATATCCCCAGCTTCAGTAGCCACCAGTAATATAGGTCAGTCCAAACTACTTTAGCCCTTTCAGATTTGCAACTTGGATTTAAGAAACCACGGACTCACAGCCTGAACCAAGAACAGTGTGTCAAATTTGTTGCATCATGCAAATACCATCTCTGGGCAACATGTTGGGTCATTTTCTTCGGTTTGGAAAGTCATTCTTTCAACCATGCCTGCTGCAGACCACACACCGGTCGACCAGTGCACCCAGTGGCAACCGAAACAAACCTACTGCAACGCAATGTCGTAGACGCTTGATTCCGAAACCACCCTTTGAAGCCCACCTACATTCGCAAATTTTCACCCTTCACTTCATACCGTACATGTACCATGAAAGAACCTTTATCCCCCCAAAAAGTGTCACACAACCGCGGACCTACACATAGCAGTAACCCATTCATTATATATGCATACATAATCCCCTTGCACCTTTGCGTATGAAACTACAATTTCTGACCCTTTCCGTTATAGCAGCACTAGCCCGGTCCCAGCAGGAGATCCCAACCACGGAGCAAAGCACAATGCCTGAGCAGTGATTTCTTGATTTTAAGGCAAGAGTTTTCAATATAGTCCCAAACCTTTTCACATCCTAAAATATCGTCCTTCGTTCCTTGCCATCAAGTCACACTAGATGCTTTGGGGATGTTGTTGGTTGTTTGATGCCAATGAAGCTACAATCTCCTTCCCTGTCAATCATTTGCATTGACCAAATCACTTTTTGCATGCATCTGTTCTGGACCTTCCTTGAATGGTTGCTCGGGTGCTTTGCTGTGTTTTTTATTTGCCAGCACTAATCTGTTTTCCCTGTACTACTGTCCAGCCAGCCTCACCACATGATAGATTATAAGGACAATGTGCAAAGTCCAGCTAAATCCAAACTGATGGCAGTACATATCTGACAAAGCACACAAGCTGGGGTACAAAAATAAGCCTGCTAGCGGAGATTCAAAGGGTTTTGTGAAAACCAAAGGCGCCAAAGCCTGAAATGCATGTTACTTTATCTACTCGGAATTAGGAAGGAGCAACCTGGCAGCCGGGGCATGAAAAAAGATTGAGCTGCTATAGATTCAAGTGCAAGAGCAGTTGTTGGAGATATACTACCCTTGATTGGTATGCAATGCAATTTGGACATCCCAAAGGCAAGGTAGACCAAAACAACATAAAACAGCCACATGAAAAGGCGTTGGTGCTCAAACTGCAGCGTGACAGAAGGTGTTGATAGTTTTTTGTAGGCTAGCGCGAAGAGAACGCATAATTTATTCAACGAAAACCAATGGAAAGCAACTTTCACAAGATATCATAAATAAACGCGCAACAGTAGGGCCTTGGGAAAGAACACATGTCCCGCAAAGCTCCTCACAAGCACAAATGGTACATTGATGCGTGTTCGTGCTATTTGATATTATTATAAATATCTGAGTCCTGATATCCTTACTGTGACAGAACTGGCAGCAGTGATGTGCGCAAACCAATGCACACGGCAAAAAAAACAAAAAGCACCGTCAACAGCGACCTCAAAATCCAAATTAAACCAGATGGCAGCTGGAACAGCGGAAACCAAGAACAAGAGAGAGGCTACTGCTAAGACAATTAGGCAGAAGGAAGCAAATGCAAAAGCATCATGACAAACCAGTCTGACGAAAGCGGTGCAAAGACCAACTGAAGCAAAGTTAAGAACCAACCTTGCATTAACATTGTAGAAACAAATCACCTTTTCGTAAAAACAGCCAGGTGACAAGGAAAACACAGACGTAGATCTGCAGTACCAATGATACTTTGTCTGTGGCAATGGCCACAAACAACCTTTGTCTATTGTCTACTGTAGTATGTTGTAATTAGTCCTTTCCAGGCCAACCAGATCCAACCAGTAAATGGCATGTACATAGATGTACGTAGTGGATTGCAGCCTGCTGCTCTGCAGCTTGAACTAGTGAGTCATTATTCGAACATGTTCTGCTTGTTTTATTACACAAAGCATTAGAATCTTGGAGGATCTTAGAGGTTCGGTGCATATGATAAGGTGAAAAGCCCCACATCTGTCCAAAGTGAGAAACATGCTGGATAACAAGGATGCCTGTGAGAGGTACATTTTCTGTAATTTTCTTATGAACTAAAATTTTAGGTCGGAACTAAAATTTGAGGGTCGTGTCGGAAAAGCCTCAAAACTGTATACGTTGGAGGCACCAGGTATATATATACATATAATAAATATATATATATATATATATATTCAATTTAAATACTTAGTTGGATTTCTGGATAATGTAAGTTGGGTTGTAAAACCAAGTTTTACATTGTCAAACCAAACGTGAAATTCAGGAAAAAAATACGGTGCAGATCATGGGGAATGACTTTTTTCCCTGAAACACAGGTCCATTTTCCAACAATGCGTTGCTGGTATGCCGTTTCAATCCATGCTAATGTTTACTTGTCATTTGTGCAGTTAAAAACTTGAAGTATTTCCCTAGGTCGTATCATTGCTCAGGTTTGAAGTATTCTCGATAAAACAGCACCCTTGCTTGCGGAAGTTACACGCTTGCAATGCTATTTTTGTGGCAAAAAAAAAACAACGTCTTTTTGGAAAGTCCTTCATTTTACTAGACATTGACCCCTTTCCTTGCTACAATCAAGAAACACACCAACACCATAATTTATTTGATTGCATTTTTCACCATTAAGCCATATTAAACCATACTAATTAAACCCTAGAGAGTCGGCAAAAATTCGGCGCGGAAGAGGAGAACAAAGCTGACATCAAACATAGAGATCCTCGGCAGGTGGGGAAAAAGACAAACAATAAACATCACTATCAATATGGTATATATATATAGTTAAATATATAGTTATATATATAATTATGGATTATCATTTAACCAGTTCAAACATATATTTCAGTTCAAACATATATTTCACCATATATTCAGCCGGGATGTGACATGAAAAAACCTCTTTTTTCCCATCGCAGCACTCCGAGGCACCGCGAGGCCTCCCTGCTTGGCCAAGCGCTCCACGATGCGTCGCCCCGTCTGCCCCGTGGCGCCCGCCACCAGCACCGTCTTGGCCTCCGCCGCGCCCGCGGCTCCCGCGCCTTCGACGGTGAAGAGGGCGGCCAGCAGGGCACGGCGGGGCAGCTCCTGGAAGGCACCCCTTCCAGGTTGGAGTTGATGAAGATATCTATATGTATGATGAAAATAGAATTCATAGGTTTTTTGAAGGATTTTACTGGGATTGACATTTAGCTGGCTGAGTGAGTAAAAATAACTTAGAATTATTGTTGGTTTTATGGTGATTATAACTATATTCAGATGATCTTAGATGGTTTTTATCAAGCACCAAACAAGGATGGGGCACCACATTGTGGCAAAATGTGACTTGGCAAAGGCGGGGTGAACTTTGCAATAAAACAGGGGGGTGCACCGAATGGGGGAACCACTAAAAACATAGTTTATATAACCAGTTGCAGTCACAGTAGTAAGTGTTATTTTTATATATATATTATATATATATACACATATGCCACAAGAAACGATGTATAAGACACATACATACTATAAAAGTGATGGACATCCAACATGGATTTTTTGTTTTTTTAACAAACTGTGGCGCTACCGAACCTTCTTTTTTCCAACTTGCCGGGATGATCCAGTTGGATCCCCACGGTTCTGGCACAATATTTGGCGGTCAAAAAAAACACGAAATTTGGCATAGAATTTAAGTAACGTTAGTTCCCAGCAAATTCACAAAATATAGGGGATATTTTGATGGTTTTTGCTCCATCCCCATTTCTGGAAGCCCAGATCTTCGCTGGACTATCGAATGTCCATATCCTTTATTGTCTTGCCTTCTGTGGCCAGGAACGGCAATGGCAAACACAAATCCCATTGAACAAACAAATAATCTGGACATGGAAAGATCGTGAGAGGGTCCCAGTATAACCGTTGAAGATATTCAAACATGGAAAGATCTGATAAACCACGATGAACGTTGGAGATAGCAACAACAAACATGAGGATATCTATATAATTAGGAAATAATGGGCACGAAACTCACAAAGCATGCGGATACTCATCACCAGGCTAACATGTGTTTGTGAAACGTTACTTGGAAATCTTGAAAATAATTCTCAAGCACTAATCTGACAAATGACCAGCATAATTGCAAGCAAAAGTCAGCTAGGATGTTGTCAAAGCAACAATATGCTTCGCACAAAAGTTGAACTGTATATGCTAATGAGCCACTAATGAGGTCTAAAATAGTTAACAAGAACAAATTAACTAATCCAAAAAAAACAGAGTTGATGCTGATATGACCAAAAAGGCACCGATTTCACAATCTCGATGTGAACATATCTGACCAATTTTGGATTATCCCTGAAGTTTCAGGTTTCCAACGTTCTGAACCACTGATAAGATCGGTTTTTGAAAGATCTCCACATATCATTCAGCTGTATCACTTGCGGAAGCGGCTCTTTTGCGGGTGGCTCAGGGATCCCTATCGATCCGATTTGAGTGAAAAAGAATATGGCAGGTACACTTCTCGATTTGTGCACCTCAGCTGTGACATGACTCTCTGTGCAAAGCTTGCGTATGCGGAACATCCCTCTGTGCGGTTGCAATTCAAACTCCACTGCTGCTTTGGGTTCTGTCGCAGAACTTGCAGATTCTCTTCCTGTCTAGTGTTTTGGCTTGGTTGGTGCCATTGCAATTCGGATTGGTGTGGTATGTGTCGCCTTTCTCGGTGATCCAAATTTCTGGTGGTGTCTTGATGATCTTTCGCTGTCTGGTGATCACTTCATCGTCTAGATTCAATCTTCGGCTAGTTGGTCTAGATTCAGAACTAGAAAGCCTCTCAGAAGACAAACTTTTGGACGTGGACTTAGATGATGATCTAGACACACTTGGGGACATAGCGCTCTGATTGGATGTAGGGAAAATGGACCATAGGACCTTCCAAAAGCAAAACTCTACCAATCGAAAGATGGTATAGAGCATGATGAACATGTAGAACAGGTCATAGCCAGATGATTCTTCTGCCGCACCTGTGAAACTCTCATGAGCTTCTACGCACGTGGGCAACATGGTGGAAAATGCGATCATGGCTGCTAAATGTTTGGCGCGCAAACCTAAACATGTCATCAAAGCAATGCCTTTCATTGTCGTGGTCTTTCTTCCTTCGCGAGCTTCTCTCCAAATGGTTTCGTCATCCTTGGTCAAATCCTCTTCGTGCAATTCTTCAAGAATCGGAAGACGGCGAAGCAGAGTTGAATGCTTCGGCATGTTTCCAAGTTCAACAAAACCTGTGCTGAGAAATTGCATCAACTTTGGTGCAGTCATGGTCTTTGTAAGGCCATCAGCAAGCATGTACTCTGTGGGTGTGAGCATCAAGTATCGTAGTCGGCCAGTGGCCCTGGCTTCCTTGATAGCAAGAACATACAATCGCTGAAGTTTGTCTTGCGGCACAGCTCTAGCTCCAGTACATAGCTCAAAAAAATCTCTGCAATCTGTCGCGGCATCTACAGGAAACAGTCGCGATCCATGTTCCTGATATGCTGTCAGAGTCTGCAGCGATGGGTTGACCACTGGTATCCACAACTCAGTAAGTCTGACTGACACCATGCTTCCAGCTTCAAGACCCCCAATGGCTGAAAGAGTCTCGGCATGTGAAGTGCTGTAGGACACTCGTTTCGCCTTGCCGCCATGAGCAAAGAGAAGGTGCCCATAGTTGCACAATTTCTGGACATCTGAAGACGAGCAAGTGATGTCATCTTGTCGAAGAATCTCGTCATCCAATTCTGGCATCAGAACAACTAAAAGTCCCTCTTGAGCGTAACTCCGGTCTTTGGTTGCTGAACTGGCATCATGAATGCATTGGATCCGAAACTTGGTGTCCTTGTCAAAGAAACGATAATGAAGACCTAGCCCAACTTTGTCTGGTGAACAAGCTTTCTTGACCAACTGGTTCGCTTGGCGTAAGTGTTTGACTTTGGACTTCATGATCACTGATTGCAAAGTTCCTACTTCTGCAATGATGTCAAGTCGAGTGCTGCATAACCAAAGCAGTCCACCTAACACTGAACGAAACTGTGTAAGCTCAGATGGTGTGAGGTCTCTATCATCCTCACCAGGTGGATTGTCGGAAGGTTTCAAACGTGCAGCAAATGTAGATTGGTCGATCTTGAAACCAGTATTCGTACGACTGTACTGACATCCGCAATGCATGAAAGGAAGCTGATCTCTAGAAATCTGACCAAATTCTGCACACATGGCCTTGTAGAGTTGGTTCTTGAAAGGCTTTGTTCCAACAATGGCAAGATCATCAACATGTGTGGTCAAAGTTCCCAAAAGAGGCGGTGTGCATTTGGGATCTTTCCAACAGTAGAAGCTGTCATCAAGCTTACTGTGATGGCCGGACTGCTTCTGCAGGAACTGGCCCAAACTCAACTGCCATGCAACTGGTGCATCGTTCAAGCCATAGATCGGTTTCAGACACCACAAACTGTACAATGGAATTTCCCATGGCTCCACATGAAACTGTTGATCAACCGTAGCCAAGTGGCGCCAAGTGTTCCAGGGTGGAACCAGGACAACTGCACGAACTGGTGTTTTAACGCCTTGCTTGAGCAAGATCTCACGAATCCGATCAAATGTGAGGCCTTTAAGAAAAGCTCCAGATACATCCCATGATTCAGGATCTTCGCGCATGACAGCTGCTGTTGAAACCAAAAGACGCTGCGAAAGTCGAGATGCCGTGGTGGATCTCGTGGCCAGTAGATCCTTCTGAGGATCAAAACAGCCCCTGGCACACATGCGGGACTTGATGATTCTCTTGCCACTCTTGAGCTTCCAACGTCGGACCCATGTGCCATCAATGATGACCGTGCCCTCTGGAACGTCTCTCAAAAGGATTTTCTGAAAAGCTTTCTCGTGAACAAACTGCGCTATCTCCTTTGCATCTGCTTCTTCTACCTGAGGCCAAATGTCTGGGAGATCTTTCTCGGCTATGTTGTCCTCTGCAGTCATGGAAACAAAACAGCCTTTCATCAGGTCAACGTAAAAGCTTCTTTGTTTCGATGAATATTGATGGACAAGTGGCTGACATAGTCGCTCACAAACTTGCTCATGCCGAACCTTGAAATGATTGATTGCCATGTCAAAAGTCATATGAGAGAACCATCTTGGAACTTGATAGCACTGAGACCAAAAATCTTGCATGTACAGGCGTCGATGCCGTTGGCGATCCAAAAGCCAATGCAGTGTGTGGGCATTCTGACACTCTGTGGTGATCGTGGTGTAGTTGCCCTCAATCTTGGTTTTCTTGGCCGATGGTGATGTTGAACGAGAATGAACAGGTGGCTCGTGTCTCTTGAGCGGAAGTATTGAGTCCACTTCCATCTCATCGACTGCTGGATCTGCTGGAACTTCTGGAACAACTGCTGCAGGTCTTGGAAGATCGGGGTCCATGCTGAGTTCCTTCACCTTGATTGATGGCCCACTGGATATGGAGCTCTCTTCTGAAGCGATTGGGTAGTAGTAGAGGTAGAGGACGCACAACGATTCCCAATGTGCTTCATGAACCTCCTTCAGCTTCATCTGCTGGTCGCTCTCTTTGAAAGTTCTCGTAAAGTCAGTGGTGCCTTTCTGCCAAGTGAAAAGAGTTCCCCGTGTACGCTGAAAGGGTGTGATAGCCCGAAGAGCTTGACCATGAAGGATGCCATGAATGGGATGCTCAGTCCATGAAGCCCATGCAGGAAATTCTTGGAGTAGTTCTGCCTGCTCTTCGTCAGGGTGACCAGGAATGGATTTCCATTGGAATCCAGCGTGGGTCAAGATCTGCTTGTATCCAAGAACTTGCTGTTTGTAGGGCTGCATGGCTTCAGTCATCCGCATCAACTTGTAAAGACCAGTGCCGACCTGAGTGTCAATATTGTAGAAAATGCCCTGCGATGGCCTGATGAACCTGAGGGATACCAGGTATGGCTTGCCCTGGTACTTGATGATGGCAGTGCCCTCGGACTGGTCAATCTCAAGCAAAACTGCTGGCCCTCTCCATGTTCCATCTCGATGAAGATCCACAGTAGTGGTGCCTGGCACAAGCTGTGACAGGTCCAATTGATGTGGCCTGGTATGGCTGGCTCTTGCCAAACGATCTTCTTGGATGGCCTGTTGAACTGCATTGAGAGCAATCTGCCGCAGTCTCATGGCCGTCTCAAAAACGGTCAGGTCACGGTCAGCTGCTCCGTTGACTGCAGTCAGATTGGCCGTCTCAAACTCATAGAATGATCTCGGAATGACGCCAAACACAGCCATGCTTGGAGAATATCCTCCATAGATGAGACACAAATTGTGGCTCATTCCAGCCTCTGCAGCTATGTCGGAGTCTTCAATCACTAGACATTGGCGATCACATTCGGCTTTCATCTTCTGCATTGTTAATTTGATGAGGCCAACGTGGCGCTCGACAACGCCAGTTCCAGTATGTTGTTTTCCAGCCTCTCCTGAAGTGGTTCCCTTGGGGTTCCTGGTGATGCCAAGCCGTTCGAACTCCACACCTGCTGCTGGTGACATAAGACTGCTTTCTTGGTCTGTCGTGAGAACTCTCATTGGCCCAAAGTAGCGTATCCAGTGATGCAGAAGACCTTTGAGAAGATCTGACATTTCTCGACTAGGAACTTCATATGCCACCTTATATCTTGTAGCAACATCAATCAAAAGGCAAAAGGTTTTGGACCAAAGGTGGTAGATGTCGGTCTCCACCTCATCACCGAAATGAGCAGCCAAGCTTACTTTGGTCTTTGGCCGAGCAGGCAATCTGGAGTATCGTCGGCAGATCTGACAAGAAGCAACTGCCGCATGAGCCATCTCAACAACCTTTGGAGGCATTCCTGCCCTCAAGAGCAGATTGGCAAAATCAACAGCATTGGCGTGCCACACCTTCTCATGCAAACCCAACAAAAGACGCCGAGCCATCACAGTGTCTTTCTCAATTTCTTGAGGAAGCCGTTGTAGGACTCGCTTGACACTGTAGAGAGGCTTCATGGCTCGAACAGCAATAGGTTGGGTATCAACTCCATCATATGGCACAACTGCTGTGGACGCTTCGCTATTCTGGCCTCCTGAAGGTGCAGGTGTGCCCGGCGCTGGTGTTGAGGGTGCCGGTGTGGATGCGGATGGCTGTGCTGTCTCTGCTGGATCTGATTCTTGAGGAGGAGCAGGAATGTCATGATGACCAAAAATGGTGATCATCCAGTCCTCTTCATCAATGGCTTCTCGCTGTTGTGCTGGCGAAAGTTCTCGAAGATCTTCCATGGAGCAGAGCTGCCAAGATTCATAAACGCCTCTGCAAATGATTCGCAGTGGTGCTTGTTCTGCTGAAAGATGTGGTTCTGGAAAGGCTTTCGTAAATGGATGCAAAGCAACTTGTACTCCGTGAACATGAAGAATCTTGCGAAACAAATGTCTTGAAGCCATGAGAAGAGTTGGATCAGTCACCCAATATACATACGTCTGTTTCTTGATCATCTCGTCAAGAATTGCAATGCTGTCTTTGACCAATTGACAGAAAAGGTACTTGAGGTACACTGCTTCCTCAGGAGTGAACCCGTACTGCTCTGGAATCTTGATGGTGATGTCTTTGGCCAAAGCATGCTCCCTGGCTGACTTTTGAAAATCAAGCATGGGATTTGAAGCTTGAGATTCGAGCTTCTTCTTGGCAACCCGCCTGGCTTTGTCTGGATCTCTTCCATATCGACACTCACCAGGCATGAAGGTGTGCTCCATGTGAGGCAAAGCTCCTCGGCCAAATTGGCAACGCTCGCAGGTGTACATGACCTCTGCTCGTTGTGCAGCATCAAGGCACTTGGGTCTGAAGGAGCCACGCGGGTAGAGGTTGTAAAGCATGTCCTCGATGATTGCTTTGCAAAACCTCACAGGATAGACAGCTGCCATTGCTGTCCTGTTGACTCCTTTGTGTTGTCCTTGAAGAGGTACATGGGGAACACCGCGATGGCCGTTGCACCTTCGAAGAGTTGAACGAAGTTTGCAGTTGGCTTCTATGCCGGTGGCCTTGAGGATGGGCTGCCGGTGTTCATCGCATGCTCCAAAAGCACATTGATCTGTTCTCTTGGCTTTGCGGTATCCTGGCATGTTCTGGTTCTCCGCCATCACACTGTCACTCCATATGGCTGAGCTCCAGGGGTTTTCCAGGACATATACTTTGCGTCGTTGGTTCTGCTGTTGCATCTTTCGCTGCATGTAAACAAGAGCTGGCCTTTCTGATTCTCGATCTCGCATGAGTTCTTGACGATCTCGACGAGATGCTGAGACACTCCAGAACTTGCATCGGGGTGAGCACATGAGGAAATCAGGGCAGAATTCCTCATAAGCTTGATCAAGCATTCTCTGGTGTTCTGGAAGTCCAATGTCCCAACCATAGCGAAAATCAACTGGAAAACCCGTGGTCAAACCAGAAAGCACACAAAAGCGGCTGAAGCGACCAGACCCACTACAAAGTTCCCAGCCATGCCACTTGGTCTTCTTGGAGCGAGCTTCTTGGAACCACTGATCAAAAAACGATGGTGTAACCACTCGCCTGCCAGTCTTGGTGTAGAACTCCTCTGGCATGGCATTGTAGTCCTTCTTGAGTCGCCGAATCTCATCATCAGAGAGATGATCTGGAAGCTCATCTGATGTGTACATGGGAATGTGAGAAAGGTTGGTCGCAAAAACGCCTTCAACAGGTTCCTCTTCATGAACTGTCTTACTGGCTGATTGGGACTGCTCAGCAAACCTCACAGTCTTTTCTTTGGTGTTCAGCGCCTTGACACTGTCAACCGTGAGCATCTCTGCAGTGGACCTAGGAGTTGCCACAGGATGCTCATCGGAACTCCACTTCTGCTTCGGGTCTGCCGCTGTCTCAGTCGCTGAGCTCCAAAAACTGAAAAGGTGATCTGGCCATTGATCATTGGAAATGGTGGACAGGTGACGAAGGAACTTCTTGGTATCATGATGTTGCTGTGGTTCATGAATCTCAGCATGATCATCCAGTGGTAGTAGATAATGCCCAGAATCTGTCAGCAAACATCTGAAAAGGTGCATGCTAGGCTCCTTCTTTTCCGTGTTCCATGTCACCAAAAGTCCATCATTGTTTTCAAACCAGCATGAATGAAGTGAAGCCTTCATGGCGCATAATGCTGGGTTTCCGACAAGTGCCGGACAAAGTGAGCCTTCCTTGCCAATCACATCTGCAGTGTATGTGGCATCCAGGCCTTGAAAAGGAAGTCGCAGGTGAACTCGTCCAAGTGCCTTGTCTGGGCATCCACTGATTCCAGTGATGGTGGCCTGCGACTCTGACCATGTCACCAGGGACCGCTTGTTGCCCTGATAGCAAACATCAAGAAGGTCTCGCAAAGTCTCGCTGCCAACCAAACCGGCGGCAGCTCCTGGGTCGATGAGCAGGCCTCGTCGTTTGTGGCCTTTCACCGTGTGGTAGCAAGAGGAGCTGGTGTGCAAATTGGTGACAAAGGCAAGTGAGCGCTTCGCTGAATCTTCATGATGTGCATGTTCATGAGTGTCATGTGAGGCGCCCTCTTCATCAGCCGAAGCTGACGGCCCTTTCCATGAGAAAAGTTCCCCAACTTGTCGAGGGGGACTGGGTCGAATGATGGGCTCTTGAGAAGACTTGGGGGTTGTGTGTGGTTCACCGCCAAGTCGAAGACCTTGATCAGGCTGGCGTCTCACACTCATGTAGTCATAGTATTCATCATAGTATCCTTTGAATGGGCGTTTGCCTTTTCCTTTGCCTTTTCCTTTCAGAAAAGGTCTCTTGCCTTTGCCCTTGCCACTCTTCCCACCAAAACCCTTCTTGCCTTTCCCAGGTCCTTTGCCTTTTCCTTTGCCAAACTGAGAACTACCTTGGCTGACAGGACATTGCGCAGCTCGATGCCACTTCGACCCACAGACAAAACAACCATCACCTCCTTGGTAATAGTCCTGGGACTGACTCTGTTGATCATTGGATTCTGAGGCGGCTGGTGGATCTCCTTGGGACATGTCATAGGTCTCGGCAGTGTTCTTCTCAGGACTCTGCCAGTCGGAAGATGCATCATACCACTCATCATGTGCCTGGGTCTCGTAGCCATACCAATCATAGTCATCGTAGTAGTCCCATGATCGAGACCACTCATCTGTCTCCCAGGAATCATAGTATGTTGATGCATCCCATTGAAACCATTCAGCCCAAGGATCAGCATAGTAGTCGTAGTGGTCATATTCAGGAACTTCAGCATACAAGTCATGAGACAAAGTTCCATGGTCACTGCGACTGCTGAGTCTAAGAGCCAAACGTCGTGCTTCAGCAAAACGGCTCATGTCTCCTTGGATCTGAAGCTTCACATCCTCGATGAACTTGGAAGGCAAACCTGACTGTTTGAAATACAGGTAAGTCTTGGCAACGTCGTTGATGTCCAGCCCTGCTCTCATCTGCGCTTCTTCGTAGCGAAGCTCCCATTCAGCTGTGAACTCCTGCAGTGAAAGCTTTCCACGTCTGAGCTCGAAGAAGGCCTCAAGGGCTGAAGTGGTCAGCTCCTGATCTGACTGGCCAAAAGCTTCCTTCAACGCGTTTGCCAAAGCAGTCACTCCACTCGGGATGTAATTCTGGAGGATGACCTGTGGGTTGTTTGGATCTCTCACTTCATCCACCGTCAAACGAACCAATGCTGAATCTCCAAAGTCATATTGGCCATCAGGCCGGATGAGGCGCAAGTTGAGAGCAATCTTTTGCGCTCTTCCTTGTAAACGGCCTGCAATCAGAGGCCCTACGGCCTCGTCTGGGCCTTCATAGACCCGATACCAAAGCTTCAACTTGTCAAAGAAGAGTTTCAGTGGATAATCCGGCAGGCCTGGTGACCAGCCGGGTGGGCAGTCCTTTCTGTACTCTGTCAGAGGGATGCCTGATGTTCCAGTTGCAGAACTTGCCATCAATGATTTGACCTGAGAGAAGAACCTCGCAAACTCAAAGTTTGAGAAGGGGCCGTGGAGGCCGGCAAGGGGTTCCTTGGATTCAGGGACGTACAAAAATGCAGGGACGAACTCAAACACAGCAATGTCGTGGACCACAAAAATGTCAATGGGCACAGGAATCTCAATGGATCCAACGGTGTGCTTATAGACAATGGTGCAGTGATCACTGAAATTGCAAGAGCTATGTGTCTCCTGGATCGTGCAACTGGGGGCTCCTGGAGTCAAATCTTGGTCTAGCGGGTTTTCGCCGGACCACTGTGCTGCTGGGTGAAAAAGGGTGAAAGCCACGCAAAGCGTGTGAAGACAGATGCCAGAGATCAAGAAAGCCGTGATGATCGATGGTCTTACCTCAGTCTTGGACGTAGAGCTCGAGGTCAAGTCGAGCGGCCTATCAGAGGCCAGAGCAGCCTATGGCTTTGAGCTGGAGCCCCAGATTGACCGAGGCCCCGCTACCAAACTTGCGGAAGCGGCTCTTTTGCGGGTGGCTCAGGGATCCCTATCGATCCGATTTGAGTGAAAAAGAATATGGCAGGTACACTTCTCGATTTGTGCACCTCAGCTGTGACATGACTCTCTGTGCAAAGCTTGCGTATGCGGAACATCCCTCTGTGCGGTTGCAATTCAAACTGTATCTTACTGATAAAAGAAGAAATCTGACAATGAAAGGTTGAGTGTAAGTCTCTTGGAGACCCCTTGTCTTTGTTAATTTCCCTCTCCCTCTCGTTGTGATGGTCTCTGACACGGGTACATCTGAGAACTCCAACTTACTGTAACTTAGTCATCTCGACTCAGTTCGGAACTACCAGTGAATGCATCCCATAAATCATTATTAATATAGTTATATTTTATTGTTTTTTATTGGATAACTCTATATAATGAAGCTATCATGTATAACTGTATAACATAGACACCAGCTCATCCACTAAGTTATCATCCCCGCCAGGTCCTCAGGCGCAGCTCTGCGTTGCAAGTGTTGCAGATCTTCCGTGCGCAGTTCCGCGTTGGGCACAAAAGCCTGGCCAGTCACCAGTCATGTTGGTAAAACCCATGTCATCCCTAAAAACGCTCTGGTAAACGTTTACATTTGGCTGAAAATGGCCCATAGAAATAGTTGATTTACCTATTAAAGTGGTGATTTTCCGGGGGTTTTGGTAGTTTACCGGAGGATATCCTAAACAATGGATCGGTTTTCTTGGGCCTTTAGAACATATTCACCGGAAACCCATGGCTGTTTCTATTCCTCGGCATTTTCCCTTAAATCAATCCATCCAACAATCTGTTAATGGTTTGCGAACTGGAAAATCACTGCCTTAGATTAAGCATCAAACTCTGAAAAACCGGAGGGTGTACTGGTTGCTTAACAACTGGTTTTCCATATTGGATGATGACAATCCTGACTCCCAGGTAGGTCAATTTTTTCATTGATAGCCCCCTCGTTCATAGCCAATCAACAGGGGTTTATCAATCATATCCGATTTTTCTTCATAGTGGAACCCCGATTTCAACGAATCTGAAGAACATATGAAAACCCTATAGTTGATGCTCAAATCCCATTACCATCTCTTTAGCATCCCATTAACATGAAATTAACTGCTCACCTGTTTCAGTGCCACAAAGCAAAGGGCCAGCAGCAGCCATGGCAGCACAGCACGTTTCGCCATGGCTGAAAAAGCGCCTGGAGCCTAAAGCGCTAAAATCTGGAAGAGATGTTCAGGCACTAAAGGATGTGTGGAAGAAAACTGAAATAGAACAACTTTTGGGTTTTCCATGTGTATATATATATATACATGTATAATAGTAGTATATATATACACATATCAGTGTATGTGCATAAGTGTGTATATTATATATGAATATATAGTTTTCTGTACGTATATATATATATATGTGTGTAATATACATACTCGGGAAATGACTTTGTGATCATGTCATCGACCTTGAGTCTGGCAACCTGAGTTTCCCCACTGCCAAGGCCAAAAACAATGTCCCATATCACCGGTGCCGTTGTCACATGAGAGTCACTCAGGGGGCAAGCGTTGGCAAACATCTTGTGTTTGTTGTGCATTGTGCGGTACATTGTATATCTATGATCTGCAAAGTATGCAACTGCACGTGGATACACATGAATATACATGTATTAATATGTGATAGAATATTATATATATACAATTATACACATATATTCATACACACACACATATCATACAAACATACATGACACAAAACAAACGATCACACATACATGCACAGAAAATTCACGCCACAGCCCACGGCCTGTAGCCACGGCCATACTCCAAACGGGGCATTCGAGAGGTTGGAACTCTGGCCATAGCTCCCCTGGCATGTTCTCCACCCCAACGCGGGAATTTGGTTTAGCAGCACTGAAATGAATCATAGCGCACAGCAAACATACCTGGAACATAAAATTTTACAAAAACATTTTCTGGTTGGTGGTTTGAACCCCTCTGAAAAATATGAAAGTCAGTTGGGATTATTCCCAATATATGGAAACACATGTTCCAAACCACCAACCAGTTTTTGAGTTCTGTTTTTTTGTCTAATCTTGGGTGTTTTAGACGTTTTGAGTCGAACAACAACTAGCCAACATGGGACCGTGTTTTGGGTGCCACTGATTGCGGGATTCCGGGATTTCCATGAAAATTGATTTTCGGTGTTCAAGTTGATAATCCCTACCCCTAGGCGATCCCTAGGCGATCCCTAGGGCCAAGGCCCTGCACCACTGTTCGCCCGTCACTGTTCGCCCGTCACCAAAGCTCCACCTGATCTCCAGGGCTCCGCCGGGCACGCTCAAACTTCGCTCGGCTGGAAGGTAGCCACAGGGAAAGGAGCACGTCCTGAGGGGCGAGTGGCGATCGGAACATGGAAAACCACCGATGATTTCTGATACCGACGGAAAATCTGGCGAATGTGAGATGGGTTTTTCAGATGTTTCTCCACAAACATACTGGAAAACCATGGTTGAATCGTTTATATAATACCAGCCATATACAATATGATAATAATTTTTCAAAACATATGTTGCACCCTCCGGCAATCAAACCTTTTGAACATACTAAATGAATGGATGAATTCATGGGAAAATCAACAAAATCACGCTGGACAGCTGCTGGATTTGCCCGTTGGAAATCCATGGGTTTTCTCCGGACATTGATTTACTGCTTGGTGGTTTTTCCCTACCCCTCTGAAAAATGATGGAGTGAAAGTCAGTTGGGATGATGACATTCCCAATGATATGGAAAACAAAATCATGTTCCAAACCACCAACCATATTTTCTCCATAACTATGTTAGGTGACTGGATTGTCAGTATCTCCGAATATGCGATTGACTTTGATACACTCATTACTACGTAAGCAACAAGTAATCCACCTATTTTTGGTCATGTCAGTTGATGGCCTATTGCTACCCTCTGGTAAACTAACAGTTTGCTATTGAAAATGGCCGTAGAAACAGCCGATTTACCTATTAAACATTGTGATTTTCCATAGTTTTTTGTATGTTTACCAGAGGCTATAGTTTGTCAAATTATTTCCGCATATGTGTTTGTCTGAAAATTAGGTACCCATGATCATGTTCCCATTTTTTCCCTCTTGAACTTTGTAATTTGGTGGTATATCCCAGTTTCAGAGATATCCTTATTACTGTAAATTTTCTTGGTTCATATCCCTACAATGTGGGACCGCTAGTTGAAAGTTGGTTTATAAAATATAAACCACATTCATTATAGTCATAAGTATGATAAGCCATAGTCATTGGACTTATAAACCAACTTATCTATATCTTATCTATCTAAGGGGGTCCACATTGTAAATATACGCATTGTTGTTGCTGCTGCTGTTGTTGTTGTTGTTGCTGTTGCTGCTGTTGTTGTTGTTGTTGTTCTTGTTGTTGTTGTTCTTGTTCTTGTTGTTGTTGTTGTTGTTGTTGTTCTTGTTATTGTTGTTCTTGTTGTTGTTGTGCTTGTTGTTCTTGTTGTTCTTGTTGTTCTTGTTGTTCTTGTTGTTGTTGTTGTTCTTGTTGTTGTTGTTGTTCTTGTTGTTGTTGTGCTTGTTGTTCTTGTTGTTCTTGTTGTTCTTGTTGTTGTTGGGGTTGTGGAAAGATTCATCTGTTGTTCGTGCAGCTGAACCACATGATATCTTCTGATTTGAGGTTCCCCTGCATTGGAACCTCTCACATTTTGCTGCTTCACATTAACATTGTTTGATGATAACATGTGGTTCAATCCGCTGTATCTTTTTGACAAACCCAACTCTGAATGTTGGCAATGCCAACAAGGTGGCCCTCCCTTCGATAACTATGACAATATCGTAGTTGATTTCTAGAGTTCACTACAATAACTCCTGGGATCATTTTTGGGATATATCGTAATGTAGCTAAGACCAACGAAAACAAAAAACGGCGGCCCGGCGGCCCCTTTTCGGAGAAACTACTTATATACACATATATAGACATTTACAATCCAATCAAAAGCAACTTAGCTAATCATAAATCAGCTATCAACATTCTATCACCATAAAGCATAAATTTCGCCGAACGAAACGCCGGAACGTTCCCCTCGCCCAGTATCTGCTGATGCGCGCAGGCCATGTCGAACTCGCCGCAGCGATTGCCGCCATCGCTGGGCAATCTGAGACGAGCAAACTAGTAGTATGTATACAATGTATGTGTATATATATATATATATGTATACATATGTATGTATATATATATATATTATGTATATTATATAATATATATATATATATTATATATTATATATATATATATATATATATATATTGTATTATATATATATATATTGTCAAATTCAAATAATATGGACATGCTCAAAATATACTTCAAATATAGATATATATAGCTGAATGTGACAACATGATACAACATGTGTATATATATATATATGTATGAGCTAGTTTATACATATATGTCCGCATCCCATTCTCACCAGCTGTTGCCGCCACGTGGCAAATGCAAGACCATGGCGGACATGGCATCCATCGGCAAAGGCTGCAGCACCTCCAAGAAGGGATAACATGAAAATAACATGGGCTTCTCTAACTGTGGTTTTCAAAGACATTGCAACAACACAAACAATGTGTTTAGACATGTGTTTAGTGGGTGTTCATGGGCTGTTTTTGTAGGAATCTATAATGGGATTATGGCAATGATGGGGGTAGATTTGACCTGATGCCTGGGGAATTGCAATGTCTCCCATGTCGACGAGTTTCACCCATGAAGAACCACTCACAAAAATGCAGTAGTATCTTTCCATATATCTAGAACACAATATTTTCACAAATCCGGACAGCGATCGGCCTGGCAACAAAAATGTAGCAACTAGCAATGCTTCGAAAAAAAAAGGCAGTCGATTGAGTTGAAATTAGCTAAATATTGAGTTGATTCCCATTGATTGTTGCGTACGCCCAACCATCTTCCCAATCATTGTTGATCATTCTTGTTGCTTCAAAACCACCATCCAGTTGGTGGTGACCTCATTCGACGATTTCTCCGCTAGAGTCAGGCGGGATCCCTCTTGGGATCCCAATCTCGACTGGATTGATTGGTTTTGCTGGGTTTTGATGTACCATGAGTTGTTTCCGGTAAATAACATCATTAAACTATTGGGGTTTCATATGTAAAAGCCCATCACCTTGGCCATTGGGACATCTGGCGGTCAATGGCCCAGTTGGAGTTGGCGATAAGATCCACCACCCCCAAATCTTCCGACTGGTTCCGATGAACAAACCACGATTCAAAATACAGATGGGTTTACTAACATTGATGGTGTATATTAAATGGTTACTAACATTAATGTACCATTACTAATGTTATAACATTGCTTTACTAATATTACACCATCTTCAGTTCTGCATCTCAGGCATATTGTTTTAAGTACATAATTACATGCACCAAAACAATACCACGATAGGGGCGATATTTAAGGTTAGCATCCATTGATGATTAGCTATAAATCAAGGGATTCACAGGCTGATGCAGATTTGTCTGAAAGGGGGGTATGTCCCAATCTACGACTGAATCCTCAATGTTCAAACACACCCATACATGATATGTGTGTGTGTGTGTCCATGTATGTAGGTAAGTAGGTATGAAGGTATGTAGGTATGTAGGTATGTAGGTATGTGATGCGATGCGATGCGCTGCGATGCGATGTGACGTACTGTACTGTGATGTGACGTGATGTGATGTACTGTACTGTGATGTAATGTAATGTAAAGTATGGAAGTACACAAGTATGTAAGTATTTTTATACGTAAGCGTCTAAGTATGTAAGTATGCACGTGTGCAAGTATGCAGGTATGCACGTATGCGAGTATGTGACTATGTATGTAAGCAAGTATGCCCGAATGAGTGTATGCATGTTCTGTATATATATATTATATAATTATATACATATATGTATGTAATGTATATAATGTATGTAATGTATGTAATACATGGTATATATAATGTATGATACTGTAATGTTTGCTGACCTCCCCCATGTTTGCCTCAGAAAAGTAGAGCTCCAAACCGCTCCCGTGTCCATCTTGGTCGAAGGAAGGCATGGGTCCCCCATGACCTGTGAAGGCGTGGAAAACCCGTGGAGAATGGTGGCTTTCGCGCATTGACTTTTTCAATGTTTACAGGAAGGTAGATCGAAAACAAGAACTGGTCAAATGTCAAGCTTAAGGGAAATGAACTTAAGTTAATTCTAGTTAGCCAGAAAATTCTAGTTAACATCTATTGATTTGAGGATTTAATGACATGAACATGAGAAACAGGATAACCCCAGTCTTCATGAGGATTCAACCACCCCAAAAAGGTGAACCCCCAAATAATTGAGATGTGCCCTGAAAAAAAAATATTATTGGTGGTTAATAAACCCTTAGTAAGCCCCAAGAATTCATGAAAGGTCAATGGGTTGGAGATCCGGCAGTTTGATTTTACCGTTTTACCCCTCTAAAATGCTGATCCCAACGTACAATCTCCAGAAATCACCAGGTCCTAACTTACTATATCAGTGCAATTATGTTGAATAATGATTCGAAGCTGAAATAGTTTGGGCAATAAAAAAAAACACACATTGTCACCATCCCAGAATTTAATGACGCTTTGCTAAACTATATGATCTATCTAATCTATAGAACCATTCTGGGATGGTTTCCCTTGCAAACCATCATGTTTCCTGTTCTTTCCGCCTGGATTCCTTGGGGATACTCGGATCTTCTCAACGAAGTTTCTATGAAAACCATCATGAAAACCATCATTATGAATGATTATGAATGATAAATCATAACCCCATGTTTGAATTATCCCAATTTTGCATGGTTTAATCAGTTTAATCTCCACTTTCCTTTGAAGATCACAATCCTTTTTCTTCCCCAACTGCCCAAAACGCCGCAGCGGGCGCACCGTTAATCGTGGCCAGCACCAATTCTGGCGCCGTCCAATCCCGTTGAAGCTCCGCCAGATATGTGGCTTCGGCCATCTCCGAAGGGTTTCCCACCTTAAGATCTTCGCCAGAAATAGAGACTGAACTCCGGGAAAGCAGAACGGTAAACAACGATAGAAGGAACATATGTATTATATATCATACATATACTAGTACTGAATGGTGGTTTCAACGCCTCTGAAAAATATGAAAGTCACTTGGGATTGTTGTCCCCAATATATGGAAAGTCAAAAAGTCATGTTCCAAACCACCAATCAGACACTTATTCTAAGTCATAGTATACTAATTTGAACCATCTAAGTCATTGATATACATTATATATATAGTATATATATATAGTATATATATATAGTGTATATATATAGTATATATATATAGTATATATATAGTATATATATATATATATTGTATATATATATATTGTATATATATATACAATAGTAGTATGTGAATATAATTTATAGCAAAATGGGAATGTACTGCATCTGAACTGAAACCGGAGAACGGTCCAAGTCCAGTGACTGGACTTGGAAAATCGAACCCGGAAACGCTGGGTTTCACCAGCAATTTTTTCCGGGCTTTCCCGTGTCCAGGGTTCCCTTAAATCAATCCCATGAGGGGCCTGCGATTGGTGGTGGTTTAATGGGATTTAAATGGGATTTACCCTCTGGTAAACTAACATAACTATGGAAAATCACCATTTTTAGTGGGAAAATCCACTATAAATGGCCCTTTTTCAATAGCTATGGGAAATTACCAGAGGGTATTCCAAATCGCGTGGCAGGCAGCATTCACAGATCGATCTTCAAGTTGGTCTTGTACACCAATTTCATCCATTTTCTATCATTTACCTAGTGTGGTTGTAAACAAATGAACGGGTAATACCCATCAGTAACATCTCTCCGCACATCGATGGTCATGGGAGACCCCAAGTTGTCATCCATGGAGTATGCCCCTTCTGCGGCCGTCTTATAAGTTCTGGCAATCCGTTCCGCGAAAAAGAGTAACCACCCCAGAAGTTCGAGTTTTTGAATCTGGTCATTTAGAAAATTTAGAGCACCTTTCTGGTTGGGGTGCAGTGTTGTTGATTCTGGTGGGGGTGAGACTGGGATTCTGTCCACAATCGTCGCTGGTTCAAATCATTCCTGGTCAGGTAGAAAAACATCTTCACCTCACCTCCATGTTTCTGGACCTAACCTAAAATGCGTGGTTCTTTTGGGATACTTCCAATGTGCCCCCCGCAGTTACAATTATTGCTTTGTAAAACCCATTAACATCATTAACCGTATAGCTATATACAATGTCGTGTATATACCATATGTCATCAATTGCCATCATATACCATAGTTATATGTTATGTATATATATATATGTATTATGCCATTTATACTTATACTAATATTTATACCACATTATGATACATGATGCATCAACTGCCACATTTACCATAGCACATCCCCAACCCCCAGCCGGTCCCACCGTGGAATTTTTCCGTCGTCCCAAGTCCCAAGGGGCCAAGTCTTCGACAAAGTCAGCAGGCAGCAGCAGATGATATCCAAAACCTGTCACCGATTTCGGTGATCATTGAGTCATTGACTCAGAATAAATGGCTGGTTGGTGGTATACCTACCCCTCTGAAAAATATGAGTTCGTCAGTTGGGATGATGACATTCCCAATATATGGAAAAACAAATGTTCCAAACCACCAAGCGGAAACTTATTCTAATTCATAGTATACTAATTTGAACTATCATGAACTATCTAAGTCATTGACATACTAAGACTTATTGAGTCATTGGGAACTGCAGGGAATCGATCATGAGTCATAGTATGAAATAGTACTATTCAAACCACTTGATGGTTGAACAATAAATGGGAAAATAATCATGAGTTGTATGAAATAGTATGAAACTGCAGGGAGACGTATGGAATAATTGTATGACATAGTACTATTCAAACCACTTCGAAACACGGTTTATATAGATCATGAAATAGTACAGTATGATTCAAAACCACTTGGAAACATATGGTTTATAGTTTATGTTTATAGATCATTATAAATAGATGTAAATTGATGTAAATAGTATGTTTCAAACATATTTTAACCACTTGGAAATGGGATAGCCCAACCTTCAGACGAAAAGTCGACTGACCGTATGGTTCTTTACAAGTGACTGGCGAACTGCAGTGATCCTGCTATCCGGTAATCACTAATCAAGTCTGTCCGGAAGAAAACATGGTGTTGATCACCTCAAAGTTCGGGGTCACCCGGGTGAATTAAAAATTGGAGAAAACATATTAAGATTTATGGTCACTTAAATGTACCAGTGATTTGTATTTCTACTACAATACTTCAATTCTACTCCCTCATTAAGATGCGCCGAACGCTGGATTTCTCACAGCAAAGAAGAGTACGAAAGTCTCCATCCAATGGTTGCTTACACCTTGTTCGACCTTTTGACTTCGTATGTATGATGCTTAAAACATCTTAATCCCATCTTTTGTCCTCGATTCCCATTGATTGTTGCTGACGCCCTGATCTTCCCAATCATTGTTGATCATTATATATATTCTTGTTGGATCAACCACCATCCAGTTGGTGGTGACCCTCTGGTGATATGTTACAGTTTGCAAGTTGGAAGCCATGACCCATATAGTTCGATGATTTACCCTACTCAAAATGGTTGGTTTTCCACTTTGCAAACCCTTCAATTGCCAGCCGTGATCAAAACATGGTTTATACTCTCCCTATAATATCTCATTGTATTCTCATTTACAGATGATAAACCCGCTATAAACCGATCCGATTATATATATATATATCCACACTATATCCTCATGATATTCCCATGATATCCTCATTTACAAATGAGCAGTGTTCAAAATTCCTCTATCATTCCATTATACTATTATACTGGTTGGTTGAGAACGGGATTCCCCGTTCTTGGATTACTTGGATTATTGTAATCCCCAATATATAAAAGGGTATATAGTATAATCCCCGCACTAATCATCAACCAACCAGGGTTTTGAACACTGCTCAAATGATGTTCCATCATTTATCCCATGGATCCAGCAAACGCTTCGACAAATGCGCACCTGGCAGCAGATCACGACCAGGATCCACCTGCGGCGTAAAGATGAATGGATTGCTGGGGACTACCCTCTGGTGAACATACACAAAACTATGGACAATCACCATTTTTCATAGGTAAATCCACTATTTCTATGGGCCATGTTCAATAGTTATGTCAGTTTACCAGAGGGTATCTGCAGGAAACCCAAGTCATCTCTAGTCCTTATCAATAAATAAAGAGTCCTGCTGTCCTGTTCCCTTCATGCAAGTCTGGGACCAAACCCAGTCACATGCGCAAACATCATGCTGGTATCGACACAAACATGCAGGTTGCAAATTGCCAAACGAAAATACAACATGCGCATCAAATGAACAAACGAGTCAATTTCCAGATCAGCTGGCTAAACAGCTAACAACTTGATTATAAGCCCCAAATATGGCATTTCCATCGGGATTTCCGAGTGATCGACCGGTGGATCAGCTGGCTCAGCCTATGAAGAACCCACCGCCGGGCGTGGGCAGCGCTAAAGGGTGACGGAACACAGCCCATGTGGACTCATTGATAGCCCAATCATGACCTGCCCTATCTACCCATCTTGGGCACCTACAAGGCAGGTGCTTCCCTGCTTCCAATTGGAAGTTGGTGAACATAACCCCAATGAATTGTGTTGATATATCTACCATAGATATTCCACAAACCCCAGTTATTGGAGTTAGCCAACTTAAAGGCATCAGGTGGCACCGCCCTTGGTGGCACCGCCCTCGACCATGAGTCTGAAACCCGCCTGCACCAGACTCCTCAAGCGTCCGCCCTGCTCGTAATGAAGGACTTCAGCTGACACATCTACCAACAACTCCCTCCTGGCGAGCGTCGGTCATCCCACGCTCAAACTTAAGGCCAAACATGAGGATATGAATCACCAAGAATGATCTATCTATCTATCTGTCTGTCTGTCTGTCTGTCTATCTATCTATCTATCTATCTATCCATCTATCAGGGAAAGCTGAACTGACCCCCTTCCCACCTACCCCTTTCATCATAATGTGGGCACCAAGAAACCACACAAATATACCTTTGATCTGTCTAGTTGTGTTCCCAATTCTGGCTGTATCAGGTAGATGTGTACATACTGCTATGGTTAAGGGCGGGGTAGTAGCACAGGACTGCTTTGGTTATGAAGATTTATGAAGACTTATGAGTTGGAAAAACATGTCTTTTCACTGGAAAAGCTTGTTTTTTTTTCATTGTGCTGAAACCCCAAAAGTGCTTAAAAACAGTTATGAAAGGTTATGAAGGGTTATGAGGGGTTGTGAAGGGGTTAAGAGGTGTTATGAAGCGTTATGAAGAGTTATGAGGGGTTCTAAAGGGTTATGAGGTGCTATGAGTGTAACAGTTTTCACAGCATTTCATCTATCCATCTATCTATCTATCTATCTATCCATCTATCTATCTATCTATATAACTATCTATCTATCTATCTATCTATCTATATATCTATATATTGATATCTATCTGTCTATCTATCTCTCTATCTATCTATCTATTTATCTATCTATTTATCTATCTATCTATCTATCCATCTATCTATCCATCTCTATCTATCTATCTATCTATGTATCTATCTATCTATTTTTCTATCTATTGATCTATCTATCTATCTATCTGTCTGTCTATCTATGGATCTATCTATCTGTCTTTCGTTCGTTCTATCTATCTATATATCTATCTATTTATCTACCTACCAATCAATATATCTACCTATATATCTATATATATATATATGTATATTTATCATCTATTTCCATCTATATCCTTCTATATCTACCTATATCTATCTATCTCAATCTATATGTATTTAAATCTATTTATACCTATCAATATTGTTCTATATCTACCTATATCTAGTTGCATCTATTTGTATCTATCTATCTATCTGTCTTTATATCTATCTATCTATCCATCTATCCATCTATCCATCTATCCATCTATCCATCTATCCATCTATCCATCTATTCATCTATCCATCTATCTATCTATCTATCTATCCATCTATCTATCTATCTGTCTGTCTATCTAATCTATCTAATCTATGTAGTCTATCAAATCTATCAAATCTATCAAATCTATCTAATCTATCTAATCTATCTAATCTATCGAATCTATCTAATCTATCTAATCTATCTAATCTATCCAATCTATCTATCTATCTATCTATCTATCTATCTATCTATCTATCTATCTATCTATATATATCTATATATATATATAGCCATATGTATATCTCTATCTGTCTATCGATCTATCGACCGATATTATCTTGAACTATCTATCTAGAACTATCTATCTAGAACTATCTAGCTAGAACTATCTAGCTAGAACTATCTATCGAGAACTATCTATCTAGGGTTATCTATCTAGAACTATCTATCCAGAACTACAGTATCTATCTAGAACTATCTATCTAGAACTATCTATCTATAGAACTATCTATCTAGAACTATCTATCTAGAACTATCTATCTAGAACTATCTATCTAGAACTATCTAGCTAGAACTATCTATCTAGGGTTCCCTATCTAGAACTATCTATTTGGAACTACCTATCTAGATCTATCTATCTAGAACTATCTATCTAGATCTATCTATCTAGATCTATCTATCTAGATCTAGTTATCTAGATGTATCTATCTAGATCTATCTAGATCTATCTAGATCTATCTAGATCTATCTAGATCTATCTAGATCTATCTATCTAGATCTAGTTATCTATCTAGATCTATCTAGCTCTATCTAGAACTATCTAGCTCTATCTAGATCTATCTAGATCTATCTAGATCTATCTAGATCTATCTAGCTCTATCTAGAACTATCTAGCTCTATCTAGATCTATCTAGATCTATCTAGATCTATCTAGCTCTATCTAGAACTATCTAGCTCTATCTAGATCTATCTAGATCTATCTAGATCTATCTAGATCTATCTAGATCTATCTAGATCTATCTAGATCTATCTAGATCTATCTATCTATCTAGATCTATCTAGATCTATCTAGATCTATCTAGATCTATCTATCAATCTATCTATCAATCTATCTATCATTATCTATCAATATCTATCCATCTATCCATCTATCTATCTATCCATCCATCTATCTATATCTTTATCAATTATAATTATCTACAATTATAATTTAGGATATAACAAGCATCAAGACCAAAACCATGCCCCATGATGATCACCGATCACAGACATCTGGGTTGTCCAAGCCATCCCAAGGGGGTTCAAAGCGACCACCAGATTGATCGCTTCCAGTAGGTGCATCAATGGATAGGTAACCAAATCAAGTTCCAGGCACAAAATCCCAGTGTTTGTAAGAAGAATTCAGCAATAAAAAATGATGTTTTTGAAATCGTTTCTCATTCTAGATGGAGATTTCCCTAAATCCAAAGAGGCCAAACCGGGTAAGCCTTTCTTTCCATTTCTTTCCTCCCACGTCTCGCCTGCCACAAGTAATCCCACACGAGACCGGTGGAAGGGAATGGAGTTGACACCGCGCGCGTCCGGGGAGCACCGCTTCGTGAAAGCTGGGCGGAGCTGCGCTGCTGCGAAGTGGGATCCAACTGGTCCGGTCGGATCTAGGTGTATCTGTAAATGAGGATATATAATGTGATCCTTCTCAGACAGTGTTTGGATCCATAGGGATATTATTATTATTATCATTACACTGGACCTTGGGGTATCTCAAAATGTAACTGTGATATTTACTGGTTGGTGATGCAATAACCATCTTAAAAAAATGAGTTCGTCAATGGGAAGGATTATCCCATATACTATGGAAAATAAAACATGTTTGAAACCACCAACCAGTACAACATGATATACTATAGTAATGGGATATTGATATAATGGAAGTCCGTGAAGTAATTGTGAAAATAAAATCCGTGATATAATCCCTTCCCAACATTTTTCACACCGCCCAGAAACCATTCTTTAATACAGGCATTACACTAATAGGGCCCAAAGGCCCCATGGCAGAATCCTGCTTTGAAAAAGGAAAAGGCATGGATTATATTTCTGCAGGGATAGAAATTCCATGGTTAACCCTGTGAAAATCTGGAAAGAGTCTGCTTCTTCACTGTCACTGTGATATCTTTCGTCTTATGTTATGTTCAAGCCATGGTTTTGCCACAGAAATCAACCATCTTCTGGTGGTCACCGGGATCACCAAGCAACTTTATCTATCCAATCTAGGTTGACTAGTCATGGGCGGGTTCCGAAAATGCTAAAACAAAAAGACATCATCCATTGGATGTTCGGATTTTCCATGAAATCAACCATCGATTTTGGAAACTTCCATGTCTATGGAAAGCCCCGTAAAGAACACATATCCCAGATAGTGCATCAAGTTCAATCACCCGGGATTGGCATTGCTCACCGAAGTCACTTGGCTACCCCTGATTTTGACCCAAGATGGAAACCTTGGCCGATGTAGACATGTAGATAATTCTCATAGGCTTTCTCTGTGGCTTTTCCACATGTTTTTGTTTGTGTTGATCCCAGGGTAACCAGAAATCGCAAAAGAACAAGGGACAAGATGTAGAAGACATCGTGCATGGAGACACTTCGGTGTGGCAGGGGCGCGACAGGACCTAGCCCGTTGATACGTTTGGGAGAGGAAATGGTTCGATAAAGAGATCAAATTACCAATTATTCCATCAAAAAACATGGTTGCAATTTTCTTCAATTGGTTGGGGCAACCATTGTTTTTGAACATTGGACTGTCACCGAGAATAGGTGACTGTCAACCTGCAATGAATCAGGAGTTTACCATTGAACTATAGTATGTAATCTTCCACAGGTTATTGTTTGAAAAGTATGGCTAATGGGTGGATGAGACTGATATAAAACCAACGCCAAAGGAAGGGACCATGTGCTCCATGGTCAAAACATCCATCTTACATTAGGAATCCAAACAGAATGCCTGTATATATATATATTAATGGATGACCATCCCCCAATAATAGTTGGCAAGATAAGATTCATTATGAAAAGAATGTAATGACCATCCAGGAATCATTTACATGAATCCCAATATAAGATGAATGTGTTGACCATTAATCATGAGAAATTGTAATGGTCATCTCATTTACAGTTTGTTTTTTGTTCAAACCCAATCCCGAAATTGGGCCATTGGATTGCCAGCTGAGGTGGTATCCCATGACTAATCCCATTATAATCCCATGATTATCCTATTATCCCCTATACGAATTGATAGTTTATGATGGTTAGTCATGGTTGATGGTGGTCATTAGTGGGATAATGGGATAAAACCTCATTAAATCACCATTTTCCTATGGTTTTCCTATGGTTTTCCTATGGTTCTACCCACATTGTCGCACCAAAATGGCCAGCTCCACCGGTCACATCGTCGCTGATGGTGAAGTTGGGCTTCAGGACCTCGATGTCCTGGACGGCACCAAAGGATTTTGGATTCCAACAGGGAGCACGAAGACTTGGGGACATCAACTGCAATGGCTATTGATAGGTGATTTATTTATATATATATATATATTATAGTGTATATATATGATAGTATATTACTATAGTATATAATAATGTATTTGTTTGTACATATATATATATATATATCTCTTCATAGTTTGCAGTCTCGGTTGGTTTACTAGGTGAAGCTTTGGATGGTATCTCTATCATGACTGGGGATGGTAACCATACCACCTATATATTTATGGTGATGACTGGGGGATGGTTTATTGTTGGGCTTACCACATTAAACCTCATTCTCAAAACGTATACTTAGGGAATTGCCATATTTAGAAAACTGCTCTCAAATGTTCTGTTCTGAGTATCTAATCTACAACCACCAAGTTTTAGCCAGAAAAAAAAAAGCAACTTAAACACTAATTTCGCTATGTGTTTCAAGATCAAGCTAAAAATATTTGAGATTATACATACATGTTCATACACTTTTAGCATCAAAACCATTGGCAAAATCTGGCAGTTTTGAGAGAAGCATCCATTGATACCTTTTGACCCACGTTCCATGAGGTTCTTGTCCTCATTGGACTCTCCCTATCTCTTGGGGAGAAAATATAATCAACAATGGTGGTTTGATGGGAGTCTACTTGGTAATTACTGGTAGTGGTTTAATGTTGGTTTAATGAAGTTTAATGGGTATTTACCCGCTGGTAACCGAACATTTCTTGCTGGAAAATCCACCATTTTAGATCGCTGATTGTTCCAGACGAGATACTCGTTAGTTCCGCGAATTCCAAGACATGTTTGATTACTGGAGGGTAACTCAAATTTGCAAACCACCAGCAAAATGTGACTCTACAGTTTCAACGTGAAATTGGATGAAGAGGCAGGTTGATTCTTGTTGAAGGGATCCTGCCAAGACTACTCTTTCAATAGGGATTGTTTGATATGCAATCTGTGATGAGAGTCACAATCAACCAACCACAACAAAAGTCCAAGAACAGGCTGAAGGGCAAGTGGTAGAAAATTCGGAAGAAAAATGGATGCGTCCTGTGGGTTTTGCCAATACCCATCCAAAGAAATTTAGAAAATAAATTTGGAAACATGAATGCCTCATGATGCCTCCATGGTACCTTGCGGCCAAATATCAACCATATCTATATATACTGCTATTTATTATTAAGTTATGTGTTATTATTATTAATTATCATTACTATGACTATTTTATGCACTAATATATATATATATGTATATATATATATAACAATTCACATATCTATACGTATACATAACAATTCACATATCTATCTATCTATATATATATGTATATGTACATCAGAATATCCATAATATATAGTTATACTAACTTACCAAAATTCATGATACCATATATTTACCATACATTTGAATCATACCAAATCCATCCATTCCCCTTTTTTTGGTCTCAGGCACTGCTCGGTTCCGCATGATGTCCATCAAAAACGACGCGGCGAGACGCAGCTGATAGCTTTCGCCTACGGGAGACGCCAAGCTGGTGGGTTTCATGGTGGTTTTGATGGTGGGTTTTATGGTGGTTTTATGAGATTTAGTATTGATTTAATGGGATTCGATGGGATTTGATGGGATTTCAAAAAACATCACATGGGACAGAAACAAGGAAATTTTTCATGTCAACACGGATGCGAAAAAAGATGCTGAAAAACCAGCAAAGATGGAGATTTCACCCAGAAACACGGTGCTTATGACTGCTAATGTTAGCCTCTGGTAAATTAACAGTTGGACCCTGAAAATCACCAATTTATAGTGGAAACTAGTCTTCCAACCCCGATGACTGGCAGGGTCGAACTGCTAATTTACTGGAGGGTAGCTAAGTTGGTGAACATAACTCCAATCACTGGGTTTATGATGCATGTATCGAACTAGTGAATGGGGGTTATGAACGAAGCAACACACATGACTCGGGGGGACCACCTCGCAGGATGAAACATCGTTGATATTCTTAGCTGGTAAGGTGAACATCTCCAATGACAAAACATCAGCCATTTTTTTTAAAAACGTATAGAGTTTCTAGAAACATCTAGAACCTGTACAAGGATTCTTTAGGCTAAGGATGGCCAAACTTTGCTGTCTGGCTAATGTTTAGATTCAAATCCAATTGCTTCGCCGTTGGATGACTTAAGTCATCTTCGGCCGTTGGACCGACAACGAAGGCGAACCACAAAAGGTCACATGAGCTGCGAAGGGGTTCAGAAAAAATCCGGCTGAAGGAGATGTTCATGCCACATTTATCAGATTTCCTGCTGTATATAGGTATGTTTGTTTGTTTGTATGGAAGGATGTATGGATGGATGGATGTATGGATGTATGGATGGATAGATGGATGGATGGATAGATGGATGGATGGATGCGTGCGTGCATGCATGCATGCGTGATGCATGCGTGATGCATGCGTGATGCATGCGTGATGCATGCGTGATGCATGCGTGATGCATGCGAGTATGCGTGTAGGCCTGTAAGCCCGTAGGCCTGTAGGCTTGTAGGCGTGTAGGAAGGAAGGAAGGAAGGAAGGAAGGAAGGAAGGAAGGAAGGAAGGAACGAACGAACGAACGAACGAACGAACGAATGATTTTTAAATGAATGAATATCTATATACATGCGCATACATAATATATGTATAATGTATATATATATATATGTCCCTACATGACCTGGGCAAAAAATGCCTTTGTTTGTCTAAACAAGGCTTCTACAAATTCAATAATTTGTTTGGCCAATGTTCCCGTGAAAAAAGCCATCGGGAGAGTTATAGGGTCTCTATGGATACCCCATTGTACGCACCTGACTAATGAAACCATCTGTCCTCTCTTGGTACTGCTTCACTAATAGGATTTTCCAGTTTATGGATTGTGATCATCTCCAATATATTGGATAGTCTATTTCCCGTATAATCATCAACCATGACTTATCAGTTATATCAGTTATATCCCCATACTTCATGGTAAAACCTTGTACAACTGGCTGATTGGCTGAACATTCCCATGGAAAAATGTATAGCTCCGTGCTGCCTTTGCGAAAGGCTCCGTGGATGGTCACCACAGCTCCCTCCACGGTGGCGTTGAAGTACACCACACGTCCCTGGAGCATGTCATCAAATGGCTGTTGGAGCATCCTCTCGAAGGAAAAACAACATCAATGTAATATCAATATCCACCAATGTATCCTTCTACAACTGTGGTAAATTACCTTTCTATCTTAATGCATATCATGATTTGATGGTAAGTAGTATCGTTTCTCGATGGTTTGCATACCCATCAACGATTCTGGGAACACCTGCTTGCATCACGGGCTGCAGAAACTGCAAAATGGTGGTAGCATGACCATAAAACAGCTTGTATCGTGGTATCATGGGAATATCCTACGAACCAAAACAATAGCAAATCACCATGTATATGTATTATCCAAATATATATATATTATATATATATATATACATATTATATATATATTATACATATATATATATATATTATACACATATATATATATATATTGTACATATATATATATATATTATACACATACATACATATATATATATATTATACATATATATATATATTATACATATATAAACAAAAATATGATACATATATATATATATATTATACATATATATATATATATATATATTGTACATATATATATATATATATATTATACACATACATATATATATATATATTATACATATGTATATATATATATTATACATATATATATAAAACATATATATATATATATTATACATACATATAAATATATGTATTATACTAATACATATATATATATATGCATTATACATATATATTATATATATATATATATTATATATATTATATATATATCATATATATATATATATTATACATACATATATATGTATATATTATACATATTATAGATGGGTGGGACATGATATTCTGCTGAACCATACTAACCGCATCCTACAAAGCAAACAGAAACATGAGTTGCTGCGGACACGCCACAGTCGCTTGGGACCGTTGGGATGATCCTCCCAGAAACCCAGATCTGGTTGGTGGTTGACCTTCCCCTCTGGAAAAAAAATAGTCAGTTGGGTAATTAACCATAGTTTACTAACCATGGTTTACTATGGTTTAATACTATGGTTTAATACTATGGAATACATATTATTCCCAATAAATTGAAAAAACATGTTCCAAACCACCAACCAGAGATTATATACTCCAAACAGAACATTTGAGAGCAGTTTTTTAAAATATGGCAATTCCCTAAGTATACGTTTCGAGAATGAGGTTTAATGTGGTAAGCCCAACAATAAACCATCCCCCAGTCATCACCATAAATATATAGGTGGTATGGTTACCATTCCCAGTCATGGGTGGTTTATGGCTTTGTTTGAACCGCATGGGGTTCAATTGCCAAATGTATTAGAAACATTTACAACACAAGTTGGCTTTGCCTGAAAATATATACACTCTATATCAACTGGTTGGTGGTTTTTCCCTACCCCTCTGAAGAATGATGAAGTTCGTCAGTTGGGATGATGACATTCCCAATATGATGAGAAAGTCATAAAATTCCATGCTTCCAGACACCACCGAGCAGTCTGACTGTATACCTAACCAAATTCCAAGGGATCAATCACAACTTGAGGCTCTGCCAGCAGGTCTGTCCTTCAGAAAGGCGACTGGACACAGAATTTCAAACGGGATCTAATGTGGTAAACATTAACAAACAAGCTATTGAACATGGCCATAGAAATAGTGGATCTACCCAGCTATAAAATGGTGGATCTTTCCATAGTTTTTTGTATGTTTACCATAGTTATGTAAACGGTTACCAGGCCGGGTATGTGGTAAACCCAATCGACTAAGCCATCCCCGTCTGTCATCACCACGGGTGGTTCACTGAATCCACTGGCCTCAGAGGTTTCCAACGGCACCACTCCTGAAAGCGAGGCTGACTCGACTGGTCGGTCCCCACATTTTTTCTGGTTTTCCATCTGAAATCCATGGTGAAAATGTATCCTCTGGTAAACTAACATAGCTATTGAAAATGGCCATATAGGATGGATTTTCCCATTAAAAATAGTGATTTTCCATAGTTATGTTAGTTTACCAGAGGGTATCCATGGTTCATCTAAAGCTTATAAATCTCCAAGATCCACTGGTCAAATTGACCCTACTGCGATGTATTTGGTCAGGTCACTCTTAGCAACTGGGGTGCAGTGAGACATCTGCATCTAATGTAGGAAACCAAACAATAATAGACCCCTCGAAGCTATACACTGTATCCAGGTGTTCAGTGTCAAAAACTCTTCTGAACAATCCCTTATCATGGTTGGCTTGCGGGGGTTACGATCATGGAATATGATGATCTCGAATAATTCTAAAGTAGATAGAATATTGACATGTTAATAAATCCTCACTGAAATAACATATTCTATCTACTTCAGGATGTCTATAATATAAATCTATTTATATAATAAGATTTTATACACGTACATGTGTATATGATTGTATATTGGGTAGTAGGGAAATCCACAAAAAAACACAATGGGCATTTCGATGGGAAATCATGGGAAGGTCATTGATGGGAGATATTCCAGCATATTCCAGCTATGTTTGAGTACCAGAATGGAATATGTCTAAACATGTAGATATTTTAAAGATACCTGCAGCTATATTGTAATCAAAGACAAATAATCTAAGCTACAGCTATGTTTGAAACCAGCTATGTATCTTTAAAATATCTACATGGTTTCGTCTACACTTAGTATACACCACAGGTATGTTCATAATTGTTCATAACTACAGTACAAAATAACCTACAGTGATGCAATGATAAGTCAGGTACCTCTCATGGGTGCTTACAAAACCGCTTTCAAGGCCAAAGAAACATTACTTCGTGGGTCCGCAACATAGGAATGGACGGTTTACAATCCACTTGAAGCTGATGCTTCACCAACCAACCAACCCGAATTGTCTACCTTCTTTTTCCACTGCCATCTCTGGCTTTAGCGAAACAGTGAACATGGGTTTGTCCAAAAATATCACACAAATTTCTTCAAATGTGTGTGGACAAAACATGACAAAACTATGACATACAGTATCAAAAGAAAATGTTGTTTTTTCCCCACGTCCCAAACGATGATCAGTGCGCCATTCCGGACGGATGTCCTTGACTGCCGCGGTCCCCTTGAAAGATCACGGCTTCGGAAAAGATCATCTGAACCACACCATCACGACGGTCCTTGGCTGTGGCCGGGTTAGCAGTTAGCAAACTAAGGTTCTCCCAGAATTGGTTTGAGAAAAAAATCGGAAGATGTTGGAATAAGATTCAATAGCTTCCACAATTTATGTGTCAAGACCTGGAAATTCTCATTTGGGTAAAACCATGGTGAACTAAACCCCAATAACTATGTTGGGTGAACTAGCCCCTAAAACTATTGTATTTAAAATTTGAAGTGTCGTACAGAGCTTTCCTAAAATGGCCCCCCAGCAATCATCCATTTGTTTGGTTAGATTCTCTTCTGGACTCTCCATGAAATCTGGGCAAAAAAATAACACTTCACTAACCCGAAATAAGGTCCGAAATATGGGATGATTTCTCTTAACCGAACAGGGTTCGTTATAATGTGCCCAGAAATCAACCATCCAGCTGTTGGGATTGCCTCAGCTCATCCCACAGGGCCGCCCCACGGTGGCTTCGACGGCAATGACCCTCGGTGGCACCACATCACCCTCGCGGATTGAGAAACCTGGAGCAGCCCAGGGAGATATGATGGGGTCATGGGATTTATGACATGAACAAATAATGGGATTGAATGGTTTTCATAGGATTTAACAGGATTTCATGGGAGTTAATAGGGGAATATCATGGGATTATCATGGGGTTCTCGGGGGGCATCATGTATTGTCATAGATTCATGGGAATGATTATAATGTGATTATGTTAAATGATTGAATTGCCCTTAACCACACAAAAATGCTGGGCTTTAATTTTTATCAACAAATCGGATGGGAGAGTGGCATTAAAAAAGGGTGTATGACTAACCATAACTGGTTGGTGGTTGACCTACCCCTCCGAAAAATATGAAAGTCAGTTGGGATGATTGTTCCCAATATATGAAAAAATGAAACATGTTCTAAATTCAAAATCACCAATCAGATAATAACAGGGATATGATGGGACATATCACCAGTAATAATAAGATGTGTGTCTGAAATTGGGGAATCATATTCCCCATCTCTGGGCCCCTGGGCATAAAATATGTGGACAAATGAGGTTCATTCCAATTGGATTGGGGGGGTACCCCATTTTCAGACAAACACAAATTGTTTGTCAACCAAAACTCATGGTGTGTTGACGATAAACAAACACTGGTTATTTAACATAATCTATGGAAGCCATGGCCCATTTATAGATGATATATTATGATTTCCCTATTAAAACCAGTAATGTTCCACTTCGCAACCCATTAAAACAAACCGGATGGTAGTATCACTGCACGACCATCCCAGGTTTCTTGAAAGGCCGGGCATGTCAGCTGTGCGTCATGGTGATGCTTTGACCAATGCCGTGCCAAGACTGATCACCAATTATATAAGAGTCTCAACTGATGATTGATAACTTAAGCACTCATTAATTTTCAGAGCAATGTGTTTAATTCTGATTCCAATCTCAACTGATAACTATCAATAATGGCGTCATAATTCGTCCTTGATGGCGTTTTTCACCATGACTTGACCGTTATCTCGGCCTGTATCAACCTTTGTTAACCCAACCACAAGGCTACAGTATGTGTCAAATCCTGGCACCCTTCACATCAGGATAGCTGATACAGTCAATGGATGTTCATGGCCCAAAACAAACTGTCCAAGAATGCAATTTGACCCATCCGAAAATATTTGCCAATTGGTGGATCAAACCATTTAGGAAGTGTATCGATCCTCCAACTAGCCACAATGTGATACCCCTCCCCAGTAACAGGTTTCTTACCTTAGTCTCACCCCATTGACTAGTCTGATATATCTAAACCGATCCGTGAAAGAATCATGAAATACACCAACTTATCTAGCATCTATGATGAACCAATGATAAATCCTCATGTTTTAAGGTTAAATCACAATTTTTGTTCCACATCTTCGTGGTTAAATCCCCATTGTCCCATAGGTTTCATGGTTAAATCCTTGCTCAGCCGAGGCGCTGTACTCCCCGCTGCTCCGCCCCATCGCAACGTGTTTGTCCGCTGAGACGAACAAGCCTTCCTAAGCAACTGAGTTGTGGTGGCATGAAAGTTGCATATTGAATTGTGTAATGTATAGGTTCTTACAATATCTCACTCATATAATACACAAAATGTAATATACAATACATATCACATATAATACATATGATATACAATACATATCATATACAATACAATCAATACATATGTATTTACATCGATTGTGAGATGTTACAAGTTGTTTTTGGTGCAGTAATTTCAAGTGGGTTTCGTCCATTGAAGAAGGCCATGGCATCATGGTGCCATGGCCTCTGCAAAATCACCATTTTTTCGATTTATCTGAAGTTTTATCCCATCATATTCCCACATGTTTCTCCATCAAATCATCATTTGTTGACCAAAAAAATGTGGATTCACCTCGATTGCCCGGCAGCATTTTGGGGATTAACGATGGCCAGCTTGCTGGTTGTCCGATGTTGGTTGGTTGTGATTCACTCACCACGTGTTTTTTACACCGCCACAAACGACGTGTTTTTTTACAAACTGCCAAGACGCGGGGATCAGAATCTGCAAGGTCTGTCCGAAGGCGCAGTCCTGGCGCCACGAGACGATTTCTAGCAAAAAAAACGGTCGAAAATACCAGGTTAATACCATGAAATCCCATTTCAATACCTAGAAATAGCTAGAAATACCATATAAATTCCCTGGTGGTTTATACAGATATAAAATCATATAAATATGTATGTGTATCTGTGTATCTGTGTGTGTCTCTTGATGTGTCTGTATGTGTGTGTATGTCCGTAATGGTAATGATAATGATAATGGTATATAATGGTAATGGTAGAGGTGAAGATAAAGGTAAAAGCAAATGTAAATGTAATGTATGTATGTGTATGTATGTATGTATGTATGTATGTACGTACGTACGTATGTATGTATGTATGTAAGTACGCCCATTCTATATTCCCTTATTTACACCTCTTTAAATCACCAAATGACCAACCTTGAGTAACTACATTTTTTTGGTTGGCCACAATTGGATTTTTGATTATGGTAATTGAGAATCAATAGGAGAACAGGATGGTGAAACAATGGGTTCAACCCCCTATGAATAAAAATATATTGCCACCTGGAGGTCTTTTATTAGGGTCCCATCTCACAAGTTCTTTTTTTTAATTACAAAGGATTTCATTTAAGCATCGAAATCCAGTTTTTGGCAATATTTTAGAGAGATTTTAAAAAGGGTTTTAATCAAATTTGAAATCAAGTTTTTTATTTTTATTATTAAGGTTTTCATTGGAAGATTAGGGGAAAGCTTCGAAATCCAGTTTTTGTCAATGTTTTATATTATTTAATAAGATTTTTTTTTATCAAATTTGAAATCAGGTTGTTTATTTTTTGAAATAAGGTTTTCATTGGAATATTAGGGAAAAGCTTCGAAATCCAGTTTTTGGCAATATTTCATCTAGATGTTTAAAAGGGATTTAATCAAATTTGAAATCGAGTTTTTTAGTTTTATTATTAGGGTTTTAATTGGAATATTAGGGGCACCCTAATAAAAATAACCACTGATAATGAAAATAGATCACCGTGTTTACCAGTTGGGAGGGGGTGTGTTTTAGTAATAGGGAGAGAGATTTTATAAAAGATTGTAAAATTGTCTAAAGAACGCTTTCACGTCTATATAACCACAAGTTGCAACTTGGAACTTCATCTAATTCATCTGGTTATTTAACATAGCCATGGAAAATCCCTCATAAATGGAGGTTTATAATGGTTTATAGCTGGGAAATTATCTATAAATGAGCCATTTTCCATGGCTATGTTAAAAAACTAGAGTGTAATTGTGTAATTCATCTATTTTTCATGTTGTGTTCCCATCTCCCCATCCCCAAGGAATCGCCGAGTCGGCTCCGCGACGAGCCGCGACTCCGCGCCTGCTGTTTCCAGGTCACCTTCCGCCGTGCCACCTGAGCTGAGCTCAGCTCCAAAGTACTGGGAGAGCCATCCGCGAAGAGACCCAAGGTGCAGCTCTGGGTCTCCTGAAAACCAGCGCCAGCGGGTTAAAAAAGGGGAGTCACCGGGGTGGAGAAAAGATGAGAAAAGATGAGAAAAGATGAGAAAAGATGATTGGAAGTTGGAAGATAGGCAAAAATGATGTGATGGTTCATGAGGAAGCAAACATGGGGTGCCAAGTCAGCATGAGAGTGTGATGAGGAGAAAATCTTCAGGACCATTGCATCAGCTGATTGCGTGGGCCCTTAAAAAAGGTTTCCACAAAAAGTTAAAACCATAAAATCCATCATTGTTGGGTCAAGGTCGGCCGTTCAAATGCTGGGCTTTGGAGGGGGTTCCCTGAAGATTGCGAATACTGTTGGGAGCGAAGGCAACATGACATATGTGCCAAGGTTGAATTATGTACGGGAATTGGACATCCATCCCATAATGGGAATCCAAACACAATGGGTATTCTTTGAATATCTATTGATGGATTGATGATCATCCTCCAATATTAGCATTTAACCGAAAGCTTAGACCATTGCACGTGTGGCTTAGTCTGTGGTGTTTTTCTAAAATCCAGTAACATGGTAATTTCATAAGTTTTGGCCCATCCGTATCTGGTTGGTGGTTTCAACCCCTCTGAAAAATATGAAAGTCAGTTGGGATGATGAAATTCCCAATATATGGAAAAACATGTTCCAAACCACATACCAGATATTCATATCAATATCGATTGAAACAACTTCTGGTCGCTTGAAACAAGGGCTGGGTGCTTGTCCGTTCTGAATTTTTAAGAACTTGACGTCCTATTTGTCGGGAATACATCAAGAACTTGGCCTAAAACCAGGGAGTAAATGTGCAAAACCCAGGGAGCTTGATAAGAAAGTAGTTTAGATTTTCAAGAACTTGTTATTTATTAACTTGTTACCCATCTTCAGCGGTGGCAGAAGAGAAATAACATGACATTACGCACTGAAGATGTTGAACAGGTCATTGGGCTTGGTGAAGCCAGAGCTGACTGTGAGGTGTTCACAATTTCCAATACATGTAACCCCCACAAATAGTAGCGGGAATTTTCTTGCCACATTATGTGTATCCAGCATCAGGTCTCCATTTTGTGTGCTTCTTACCAGAAAACTTCTCCATATCAGCTGAAATTGACTTTCTCCATATCTTAGGACAGGTTTACCCAAATACAAAGATTCTTCAATCATAGTACTACTTGTTCTACTCACAAATCTGGCCGGGACAGGTTTATCGTCCTCAGTATTTCACCATTTAAGATGTTGCGGTTTCAAAACGGGAAAATTGATGTTAGGTTTCAAAGAACAAACATCTACAGTATGATAACCTTTGAGAACCTATCAATCCTATCAAACCTATCAAACCTATGGTTTCGCTTCTAACGGTGTGGCAACTTTCCACAGGTTCTCTAACTACTTGTTAAACATGATTTGCTGGTGAATTCCTATTGGTCATTTAATCATTTGCCATCATTTACCCATGTACAGCACCATTGTCTCATTTCTGGTTGAACTTGTTTTTCACCACTCGCAGATGATCATCATCGGTCACCCGTTCCAATGCCGTCCTGAATCAACTGAGTGCAGAAAGAGATGTTACCAGATCCAGGTAGGACCTGACTCAACGGCAATGGGACGGATCAAGCATGGCTGGGAACTCGCCTATACAATTGAAGGGTTTTTTCATGGGAAAGTCATCGAACGAATGGGGTATGAGGGCGCCATTGCCACGTGTGATTAATTACGGGATGGTAAGCAGCAAGAATGGGGCCCCAATCATGGGGGATATCGAGGTAGCAACTTGACCCAAATGAGACTTTGTACCGGGTGCTTCATCTGACAATGGTGTACCATTGGGTCATCATCGTCCATTCAAAATAGCAATTTTGGAATAATTTTGGGAGTTTATGGAGGTTTCTTAAAATGGGAGTACCCCCGAATCATCCATTTTCGTAGAAGTTCCCATTACAAACTATCCATTTTGGGGTACCCCAGTAGGAAACCACCATATAATTATATACAGTCAGTCGACTGGATGATTTGGGGCTACACCCAAGTTGGTCACAACAGAAACATAGCTAGTCAAGTCATGAATAGAGAATGGAACCACACAGTTGCTTCATGTTCAATATCAAGCCATCCAATTTGTATATATATATATACATAGGAATATGTATTTATTTAAAACTATATACATATATATATATAACTATATACGTATAATGATACACATGTTGTTTATTAATTGAGCCATGCCCATCTGAAAACCTTTCCATGCCCATAGCCTCTGGTAATCCAATGTGGTTTCTCGGGAATTTTCGAATGGGAAAATATGAGAAACTCATCTACCCTCTGGTAAACTAACAGTTTGCTATTGAAAATGGTCCATTTATAGTGAGTTGTCCCATACAAAATGGTGATTTTCCATAGTTATGTAAACGTTTACCAGAGGGTACTACATGTTACTAAATGATGATTTTCCATTGCTATGCTTGATTACGGAGAGTATACACAAAAAAAAACTATGAAACGTTCTGGCTTTCGATATATTCATGTTACACCTAAAATATATCCCGTAGGAACCCTCAAAAAGATAGAGAAACAAAAACTCATTCATTCTACTGTGCTAAAAAACCCTGTGAGTGTTGCACCAACACAGCTGCACATTTCAGACTTCAATATCAAACCACCCAATTTGCAGGTATATCAATTATATACAGTATATGTATACTGTATACATACATAATTACATCTATGTATATATATATATATATATATGAAAGTTATTTGCATACTTTATCTTTTTTGTCAGTAATAACTGGATACCCACTTAAATATCCAAATTTTCATGAGAAAAAAAGCTTCTAGTCCATTAGAATTTGGGGTGCCCGGGTACCTGTCCCCTGGACTTCCCCACCTCCTCGTTGAACAGCAGTGTCACATTGGTTTCTGCCGGCACCTTCTGCCCCAGCGGTGTGACTCCGCCAGGGAGAACGAAGGGCCTGGCACTTTGAGAAACAACAAATGGTTTTTATGTGGATCATGTCTGATGATTTATATGATTTATATGATTTATATGATTTATAGTAGATACCAAAGATTTTGAAACATGGATCCAAGGCCTTTACATGTATGTATATATGTGTATAATAACATATATATATATATACATATATATATATATATGTATATTGATGGTTTCCCAAAGGCTCATTATCAATAAGTTGATAAATTGTACAATTAATATAGTGAGGCTGTAAGGCTGCACAGCAGATCGTAGATCCAGATGAAATGACTTCTTATCACGTTTGTGTCATAAATCTCAAACCACCTATATATAACTATCTATAACATTCTATAACTATACTATTTGGGACAAGCATCTTTTTGAAGTCTCCGCAGACATGCTGACTGGGAAAACACAATACATCATGGTTTAAAGTTTAAACACGTGTAAACCCATGAACACTGCAGCCACTTAAAGTAAATGCTTTTCACACACAGCATGCTCAGCTCACCCATGAAAAATGTTGAACCATTTTACATTGCCACATGTTACAGGTTCAATCACAGCAATCGGCGGCTCCACCCTCATAATCATAGATTTCGTTGAGCATTGGGTGTAAAAGCCGACTTTCACATTGCCAATCCCAAATACTCTGAAAACTCAGATTCTTGGCAGGTTAAGTAACATATAGTAACATATCCCCCCAGCAAACAGTTTTCTTGTTACAAAGAAAGAGTTTTTTTCTATACGCCCAGTCGGTTTCGCAGCAGGGGTCCCAAAAAGGGGCTCCCTAGCCGTTTTTGGATCACACTAGTCCCCAAACGGCTATGGGCTATTTCGGCCTTTTTGGGCCTATGGGTCAAAACCCTGGTACCTATATAAATAATTACCATGATTATATACATGTGTGTTTCTCTGAAAACAAGGTACCCCAACATACCTCCTGAAGCTCGGATCAGTTGGAAGGTCCAGCCATCCAAGTGGTACTGTTATGGAAAAATGAGTTTTAGCTGCTTATTTCTATAGGAAACATTCCATAAACGGCAATTTATAAGTTCTAACTACTAAGTTCAATAGATACATGAGGAGTTTTTATAGACCATTGAATCATTTGTTGAATCTAGTTATAACATGTTATAACATGTTATATCATATATATATATATATCTAATAAATGGCCCTAACATGCCACTGTATAATCCCATGATTTTCTTGGTACTTCTAACAGGCCATCAACGGGGCCTGTCAGCTGGACGCCGTGGATCGGGACCGGTCTCCAGTGGAAATAGGTAGGCCTCCAAGGGTCCAGCCAGGCTTCCTGGACGGGTCATGGCTCGCTATTGGGTTTCTTCTCATTATTAATAATGGTTAAAATTTAAAATCATGATTATTAATGAGATGATAATGGGATGGCTGATGATTATTAACTATCACCCCATCATTATCCCATTATTAAGGAAAAACCGCAGGATGTCAAAGGCTCGGGATAGGGATTTCTAATGAAATGAGAAAGTGTGAGAAAGTGTGAGAAAGTCGATATACTTCTAATTGGTGGTTTCAACCCCCCTGAAAAATATGAAAGTCAGATTGGATCATCATCCCAGCTATTGGGGAAAATAAAATTCATGTTCCAAACCACCAACCAGACTTGAATTAATGATGATATTTTTGGGCTGGACAACGACTATAACAACATACGACTTGCCATCCCATATGGTATGAAATTATCAGCCACCGCGTGGCGCCCGTGAGGATCACAAGGGTTACCAATCATCCAAAGTCGCGGAATGGAAAACATATCATGATATGGACATGTCATGTGGTATATGATATGTTTGTTGATCAATGAAACATGGGGGTATCATCAGAATATAATGGGGTTAAACCAATCATGAGGGGGATGTAGTGCGAATATGATGGGATATATAACAAATTTCTCCTTCGGTGTCCCCAAACATGGCGGGCCCCGCGGGCTGCTGGGGAATCCCCAAAGTCAATGGTGGTTTTGCTGGTTTATAGCTGGGAAAATCAACGAACTATTGCTGAGGGATTTTCCAGCAAGCCATGGAGCTGATTACCAGATGGTATCAGCTTCCATGTGAAAGTGAAAGGTGTAGCCGCGTAGCCCACCTCTATCCACATGCCATTTTGTCAACACAACGACCACAAAACCACAAACAGATTCTGATCCTGCAAGGCCTATTCAGCATTCTGTATGTCTCCACATTTATGTGCCTAATCTTAGATACTCTGCAAAAAAAATAGTGATGTTTTGCTGGTTCGGTCAACATATCCCAATGAAAATGGCCATACATTTCGGTGGAAGCCAACATCCACTGCAAGGGCTCCTGGGGCACCGCATATTGATTTGTTGGTTATATCCAAAGTGTATCGAATCGAAGTGTATATCCCTATATCAGCCTATATCCCATGTTTGTTTCTTAGTTTGACTCCACTTCGATCATGATCAACCATCATTCATCATCATTCATCAACATTGCTGCCCCATGTTCACACACACATTTGTTGGTTACATCCTTCTGCAAGCAACCATTTCATGATTTTCATGGCTCAACTGGCCCCGTCCATGGTCCTTTGCTGGTATCAGCACCCATAAAGCTTCTGGACTCTACTCTGACCTGCTCATTCAGCTGTGGGAAGGGGGCATAGCGGCATAGCGACTCAGCTGTGGGAATACGAACCAGATTGGATTTGCTACCATTCAAGTTCCCAAGTGCCAGATATTTGGGTATGTATATAGGTTATAACTCCAATTTAGGATAGGTTATTGTTTGGTATGTATTTATCTTATATTTGGTTATATAATGTGGTACGTTAAAACTCCAATTTAGGATAGACCTTAGCAAAAAGGATGAGTTACGTAGCTGCACTCAACGTCATACCTGCTGGGATGACAGAATCACACGACGCTACGAGAGTGGAACAGCCCATTAACATATGGATCTTTTGGGGCTACCCATCAGTATTAATTATTAGGAAAATCATCCTTAATACTAGGAAAACATATTAATTAATGATATAGAACACCCACATATTGGTATCACCTATATGAGAAAACACCAATACTTAGGAAAACATTAGGAAAACATAGGAATAGTTTCAAGAAATATTAGGAAAACACCAACATGTTTTTTGAAACTTCAGGAGTCTCTCTACCAATTCTATGTGGCAACAGCAATGGTAACATGGCAATATTCACCCCACTGGGATGTGTCTTCCACCATGGGTAAGTTGCTATTTTTGCAATCTCACAACCCACATAAATATAAAATATATAAATATATATTTATATATATATATATATGTATAATGTATATATAGATAGATAGATAGATAGATAGATAGATAGATAGATAGATAGATAGATAGATATATATATATATACATAATTATATTATAGTAATTATATTATGGAACATCCTCAGTAAGATAAGTGGCTAATGTAAGGCCAACCGTTGGGATTCTGCTCCCACAAGGCGCGCCAGGCGCGCCAGGCCAAAAATCATCCCATTGGATGGAAATCTCGTAGCGAATCACAAAAAAAAACAACTGGGAAATCACCATTTTTTATACCCTCTGGTAAATTAACATAACTATGGAAAAATCACCATTTATAGTGGATTTTCCCATTAAAAATATGATATGACATTACCCTCTGGTAAATTAACATAGACCCTGGCAGTCATCGGGGTTGGAAGATTAGTTTCCATTAAAACTAGGCTATTTTCAGGGTCTATGTTAATTTACCAGAGGGTATCTTTAATGGGTAAATCAATGTAATTCCAGGACCTCAAAAAGAACGTCCTTATTAAAAGATATTAAAAGTGCCACTTTTGGCAAGGACTCAGAAAGTACGGCCTTAGGACTTTAATGGGTAAATCATCTTTCTTTTCATCTATGAGCAATTTTCATCAATTTTCCATATGTTAAATAACCAGAGGGTACATGTTACCATGTAAATGCCTATTTATTTCGCAAATTTTCCAGGGCTGGATGACACCTGAGGGTACTTGGGAGCGCCACGCGGGCCCCTGTCAGAAGCCATTGGTGAGATCACTGGGTGATGAGCCATCGATAATTTCATGTGTTCCACTGGATCTGTCGACTCACACCATCCCAAAGTCAACGTGAGCATGTCGCACAAAGTGCTTCCTTCAAGTCGATTCGCGCACTCAAAACGGGTGCAGTTGGGGTTTTGAATGGCTATATTCGGCTATATAGTCATTCTAATCCCAAAGGGCTTACAACTGAATGGGTATAGTCGTTCTAATAATCCCAAAATAGTTTGGATAGGGGGCCCCTACAACTATGCTTCTGAAAAAACACATCCCCATGACATTCCCATGGCTGGTAACTCCCCATTTTTTCAGTGTCAAATGACCAGCAATATACCCTCTGGTAAACGTTTACAGTTTGCGAGCTGCAAAATCACCATCTTTAATAGGTAAATCACATATAGATACCATCTTTAATAGGTAACAATCATTACCAGAGGGTATCATATATTTACTTGCAGGGTATATCGGTATATCCCACAATTTTGATAGGCTAGCTATATCCTGGAAAATGCTATCATATAATTTGATATGATTTGTGAAAATTTCCACAAGATTACCATACTATGTGCCATGGTCTGCCATGGCCAAAGCTTGGACTAAATATATCCCAGCTTGACCATGGCACATGCGGGATTCAAAATATAGGTACCCCTAAATCCATTGTCATTGTAATCCGCATTCAAAAATCATTCTAAATGGCCATCTGGAGGTTGTCAAACGCCCCATTTTCCGACGAACCCTGAGGTTTGCTAAAATTGGGGTACCCCGAAATCATCATTAGACCTTTTTAGTATTGAAACCTATGGTTTTTGGGTCCCCCATTTTTAAGAAACCACCATATATCACTAGGCAATTTCTGGAGAAAACAAAAAAAACACCACGTCTGCCTGAAAGAGGTGCGGACTCCGTGGAGAATCGAAGCGAAAGGACACCAAACCCGGCTCCAAACTCAACTGTCCGGAGCCCCTCGGCAGCTGGAAATAGCTTCTGGTAGATGGCCATGGAGAATGGCCCACTTGTAGATACTGTAGGATTTAATTTACCTACTAAAACCCTACCGCATGGAAAGCCTCAGTGGGGTGGGGTTGCTTAATAACGACTGGACGTTCACTTTAATTTGCACACATGTGGACGATGCTACGCTTCTGGAGGTTCACTTGCCTCAAAAGAACATAACTCCAGGAGACGCATTCGCGCGGCATCTCAGCTGAGACTGAGAAGATGCAACGCAAAAACCGTCATAAGTGTCGGTTTCGAACAGCTCTAACATAGCTATGGAAAATCACAATTCCTAAGAGGTAAATCATCAAAATTTAATGGGCCCTGGTTTCCTATTTTCCATAGTCAACCATGTTGAACTAGAAGATGGCATATCTTGGTGCTGAGGCTGATGATATTGGTTCTAATATGTTCTAATATATTGCAAGAAAGGTCCCTCCATTTATGTGTGTTGGTTTACAAACCCATCTAACTAGTTCGATATCTCCACCATAAACATCCATAAACCCAACAGTTGTTGTAGTGTAGTATACTAAACCAACAAAGAACCATCTTGGGAACCCTACATTGTAGACCTATAATGACGTATCTATAGAACCATCCCAACCCCTGGATCCAATGTGTGTTTTTTTAAGGATCCTGGGAACACCCATGGATCTCAAATTCGTCAAAGGCTTGAAACTATACTGTAGCACAATTTTTTTGTATCTCCGCAATTAGTACTGGAAGGTTCCGAAAACAAACTGTTCGATACTGGGACATCGCACATGAGATTCACATCGAAGGTGCTGGGATGATGACTTGCGAAAAGCAAACAATATGGACATATAATCGCCAAATACATGAAATATGATTTCTAGTCATGTCTTGTGTTTGGCGTCAACGCCAGTAAGAGACCATGCGCGTGTTGATATTTTGGGGGTGGGGGGGGGGGGGGGGGGGGGGGGGGGGGGGGGGGGGGGGGGGGCAATAACGTTCTTTTCGACTTCAACCACATGGTACGTTCTCTTGCACATCTTGCACTTCCACACATATGTCATGCTACGCTGCTGGACGTTCTCTTGCACTTCCACACATACGTAACGCTACGCTGCTGGACGTTTTCTTGCACTTCCACACATATGTCATAAGTGTAAAATATCTTTCTGGCGTGACAGGCAATGTCCTCAACAAACTCGGACAACTTTGTGCCTGAAGCAAAAAAAAGAACTTTTCCACGAAACTCTTGGGGCCCCAAATTTCAGTTTCGTTGTGGAAAAACACTAGATTTTCCAATTTTGAGGCGACCCTTCCATGGAATTTTAACCACAAATTTACTGAAGAAAAAAAATGTGCAAATTACTACAGTTTCGGACATTTTCACTGTCATCCTGTGATTGTCTGATGTCATCACCGGCACGGCCTCTTACAGGCGTTGAAACCTTGTTTTCGGTTGAAGATATATGACAATATCATAATTTTGGACGAAACATCGAAATCATGGGCTATTGGATCTAATTGATGTTGGTGAATCGGTGAGAATAAATGGGGCTTTAGAAGTTAGAAGCTATCAATGGGGATATTACAAAATGTCTCTGGGTTGGTCGAAGGAAAGCTCCGCAACAAACCAATGCGTTTTCGCACGCAGTCAAATAAAAATTGGGTTTACCCATGGAAAATACCATAACTTGCCAGGGTATGTTGTCACGGTTGAAGGTATCTCTCTTATATGGATAATTAAATAACTTCAGTTTCATCCATTTAGACAAGTGTATGTTGCTTCAAATCTGCTAGTTGTACCATATTGTTTTGAGTACTGGTCAAGGCAGGTAGCAGAAAACAACATTTCTACTGCAAAGATCTGCAATCAACATGTCTAAGACACGTAGTAATACTAATTGAATAACGGTAATAGTATGAACTAATAGATACTAAGATTCATAAAACAGTAATAACAGTAAATAACATTAACAGCATGGTAATAAGGTAACAAAATTTTCAGTAAATAACAGTAACTAACAAGAAAACATAGTTAATAACAGTAAATAACAATAATTAACAGTATTACACTATTATAGCAATTGTATTTACAGTTATAACTATGGTATTAATATCAGTAAATAACAGTAAATAACCAGTAGATACAAAAAGGTAATATAATTTTCAGCTGAGATGATCCCATGACTAAAGATTGGGAAGTGAAGGCTGAAATTCTTCGAAGGCTTACAAATTACAAAAGTCATTGGGTCATAATTTACAATACTGGGTGTTGTTGTTCATATAATTATTTTAAAAGGATGTTAAATACTCATAGAATCTTTTAGACAGTACAAATCGCACAGCATCTGAACGCTGAAACTTCCATCCCGAACCATGTTGCTGGGACTGAAAGAGAGACAGGCATCTAATTGGAAAAGATCATGCACGCATTAATTGAGAAAAAGAACCACAGCATTCCAGAGATACTCATAACGCATAGCTCCTTTCCAATTTCTTCCAATCACAAGGTAGATTGAACTGGGATGATCTTCAAGATATGTCCAAACAGTCTGTAATTTCAGTGTCTTGAAAAAGGGACGGATTTAGTGCCCATCGTTGCCACTCACAGTACTTTTACATAATTTTAATTCACTCTACATCATTCTACATACCCTCTGGTAATTTAACATAGCTATTGAAAATTGCCATAGAAATAGTGGATTTTCCCATTAACAATGGTGATTTTCCATTGCTATGTTAGTTTACCAGAGGGTAACTCCTCTAGACAACTTGATATTCCCAGGCAAAATCAACTCACACGTCCTCGACCTAGGCTCCGGACCAGGCGTCGACATAGATCTCGGGCTCAAGGACCTAGCACTGAACATCCCATGATTCCCCGGATGAGTGACATTTGCCCTCCAAAATCACCCAGCTTTGGTAGGTAAATATACCAGCACCATGGTGAGCTAATCTGGGATATATGATCTACAAAATTTTGAATTTGAATATTATATAATCCCCCATGAAACATTATTATTCCCATTATAATGACCATTGCTACAATATAATGCCCATACAATCCCATAAAAGCCCATATGATTCCCATATAATTTGGTGAATTCCCATGAATTCCAATATATTCCCATTGGTCATGGCAACCATCCTTTATAAAACGCTTCTTGAGACCCGAAGGCTAGCACCATGGGGATGATCCAGGGCGCTGGCCAGCGCACCTCATTGCCATACCTAGAGTGTATATTTATATATCATTATACATATGATAATATATATAATTATATATATAATATATTAAATCATATTATATATGTCTTTTTTTTTAAGCAAAGCCATCTCTAAACATATATATATGTATATATATATATGCTGAGAAATCACGCCATCATTTGCCTGATTGTGCATCAAACACCAGGGATGCACAGTACTACGTACTCGCACATGACAGTTAAACATGTTGAAAGTAAATGATAACGATCAATCCGGATTGAACCATTTTTAGACATTATATATAAGTTCCCAGTTATATAGAGGTTACCCCAAAATACAGTAGGCAACTAAATTACCCCAAAATAAAATCATGGTTCATCTGTTTGTTTCCATAAATACGAGTATTGCCATATGTTGGCAGTCCCCGAACGGTTGAACAAACAAAGTCAACTTGAGAGGGGGAACACGAAAGGTAGGTAAGCAAGAAAGGAACCGAAGAAAAAATGAAGGGGAAAGGGCAGGGAAAAAAACATAAAGCGGATTCTGGTAAAAGCAACGCGGCCATTTTCTTTCCAAAAATATGAAGGAGAGTCTGGTAAAAGCCACTAAAAGGCTTCGGCGATGTGGTTAGGGTTGGTGGTGGTTGTGGTGTTGGTGTTGTTGGTGTTGTTGGTGGTGGTAGTGTTTCTGGTGTTGTTAGTGTTGTTGGTGTGGTTGGGTTTGTTGGTGGTGTTGGTGTTGTTGGTCGTGTTGTTGGTGTTGGTATTGTTTGTGTTCCTGTTGTTGTCGTTGTTGTTGTTGTTGTTGCTGTTGTTGTTGCTGCTGCTGATGGTGTTGTTGTTGTTGTTGTTGTTGTTGTTGTTGTGTGTTGTTGTGTGTTGTTGTGTGTTGTTGTGTGTTGTTGTGTGTTGTTGTGTGTTGTTGTGTGTTGTTGTGTGTTGTTGTGTGTTGTTGTGTGTTGTTGTGTGTTGTTGTGTGGTGTTGTGTGTTGTTGTGTGGTGTTGTGTGTTGTTGTGTGTTGTTGTGTGTTGTTGTGTGTTGTTGTGTGTTGTTGTGTGTTGTTGTGTGTTGTTGTGTGTTGTTGTGTGTTGTTGTGTGTTGTTGTGTGTTGTTGTGTGTTGTTGTGTGTTGTTGTGTGTTGTGTGTTGTTGTGTGTTGTTGTGTGTTGTTGTGTGTTGTTGTGTGTTGTTGTGTGTTGTTGTGTGTTGTTGTGTGTTGTTGTGTGTTGTTGTGTGTTGTGTGTTATTGTGTGTTGTTGTGTGTTGTTGTGTGTTGTTGTGTGTTGTTGTTTGTTGTTGTGTGTTGTTGTGTTTTGTTGTGTGTTGTTGTGTGTTGTTGTGTGTTGTTGTGTGTTGTTGTGTGTTGTTGTGTGTTGTTGTGTGTTGTTGTGTGTTGTTGTGTGTTGTTGTGTGTTGTTGTGTGTTGTTGTGTGTTGTTGTGTGTTGTTGTGTGTTGGTGTGTGTTGGTGTGTGTTGTTGTGTGTTGTTGTGTGTTGTTGTGTGTTGTTGTGTGTTGTTGTGTGTTGTTGTGTGTTGTTGTGTGTTGTGGTGTGTTGTGGTGTGTTGTGGTGTGTTGTGGTGTGTTGTTGTGTGTTGTTGTGTGTTGTTGTGTGTTGTTGTGTGTGTTGTGGTGTGTTGTGGTGTGTTGTTGTGTGTTGTTTGTGTTGTTGTGTGTTGTTGTGTGTTGTTGTGTGTTGTTGTGTGTTGTTGTGTGTTGTTGTGTGTTGTTGGGTGTTGTTGTGTGTTGTTGGGTGTTGTTGTGTGTTGTTGTGTGTTGTTGTGTGTTGTTGTGTGTTGTTGTGTGTTGTTGTGTGTTGTTGTGTGTTGTTGTGTGTTGTTGTGTGTTGTTGTGTGTTGTTGTGTGTTGTTGTGTGTTGTTGTGTGTTGTTGTGTGTTGTGGTGGGTTGTGGTGTGTTGTTGTGTGTTGTTGTGTGTTGTTGTGTGTTGTTGTGTGTTGTTGTGTGTTGTTGTGTGTTGTTGTGTGTTGTTGTGTTTTGTTGTGTGTTGTTGTGTGTTTTTGTGTGTTGTTGTGTGTTGTTGTGTGTTGTTGTGTGTTGTTTCGATTGTTGCTTAGGGGGGAAGGGGAGGGGGGGGGGGGAGGGGGGGCGGGGGGGGGGGGGGGGGGGGGGGGGGGGGGGAGGGGGGGGGACGGTGGGGGCCGGGGGGGGGGGGGGGGGGGGGGGTCGGGGGGGGGGGGGTGGGGGGGGGGGAGGGGGGGGGGGGGGGGGGGGGGGGGGGGGGGGGGGGGGGGGGGGTGGAGGGTGGGGTGGGGGGGGGGGGGGGGGGGGGAGTGGGGTGGGGGTTTGTGGTGTGAGGTGGGGGATTGTGTGGTCTTGGGTGTTTGGGGGAGGGTGGGGGGGGGGGGGGGGGGGGGTTGTGGTGGTGGTCGGGGTGTGGTGTGTGGGGGTGTGGGGTGGTTGTTGTGTTGTGTGTTGTGGTGTGTTGTGTGTGTGTTGTGTGTGTTGTGTGTGTTGTGTGTGTTGTGTGTGTGTGTTGTGTGTGTGTGTTGTGTGTGTTGTGTGTGTGTTTTGTGTGTTTTGTGTGTTGTGTGTTGTGTGTGTTGTGCGTTGTGCGTTGTGCGTTGTGCGTTGTGTGTTGGTGTTGTTGTTGTTGGTGTTGTTGTTGTTGTTGTCGTCGTCGTTGTTGTTGTTGCTGTTGCTGTTGTTGGTGTTGGTGTTATCCCTGCAGCGTTTTTGCTCGGTTCCGTAGTGGCCGAAAATCGTCAAATCGGTGGTGTTTTCGCGTGTTTTTGCAACTCTCGGAGCAAAAAACACCGTAAATACCAATGTTTTTGGCGGGTCGGAAGCCCAAAACCACGGTATTTACGATGTTTTTTGCCTCTGGTAGTAAAAAGCACGGTATTTACAGTGTTTTTTGGCCAGCACCTGGCAAAAACACTGGTATTTACGGAGGTTTCACCATGTAGCAAAATGTGGTTTCTTGATCCGAAAAGAACAAAAATACTGTAAATTACAATGTTTTGAGTCTGCTCTTAGGGTGCGTGGGAGGTGTGGAGGGGGGGGGGAACTAAAATGACTAGCAATCTCCTGAAGAATCAGGTAACGGGGCTGGCCGCCCTCCCCTTTACTTCGTAAAGTAAAACTCAAGGTAGCCCCTCTGGAGCTACCTTTCGTGACATAAAATCCCAGTATAAATCCTGCACCAGTTTCTAGATGGTTCATCGGTTCATCTTGTCATAATCCGCCCAGTGTATATATTATATATATATATACAGTGTTTCAGTTCGGAAGCACATCCCAACTGGTGCAGGATCTCTGCCCAAGATATCACAGGGTATCCCGCATAGCACGTGACAGGCCTGGAACGTGGAACACTCGAAGTTCGCACCACAGTCCTGCGAGGGGCGCGGACAAAGGGGCACAACAGTAACATCCGTGAGTTGATCAACACGAGATATTGTGGATAATATATATATATATAGTTATATATATATATATATTAGTATTGATACCGGGTTATTCAAAATAAACAGCCATCCTCTCAAACTCATTGCGAAATAACTTGCATGCCCCCTTTCCCCCAATTCAATGTTGTTACATCGCTTTGCTTGGAAAGGCCTTCAAAAAAAACAGCCATTTCGGTTCGGATGCCGGCATGCATTGGGCAACACAACATTGATCAAGGCGGCCCGGGGGAATTAGGTGTGATGTGACAACATGTAGGAGGATGGCTGATTTTTTTTGAAGAACCCGGTATGTAATAACCACAAACTGACATAATAATCAGTTAATAAAAACAAAAAATATCAAAATATTAATACTGTGTACAGTATATATAATTATATGTATAGCCTGTATAGCCGTCAAAAATGGGCATGTTCCAAGGCTCGACATGCCACCTTAAATCCGGTGAACTTCATCGCCAGGGAAGGAAACTTATCCAAGCTTCTCCTTTGTAATGAAATTTCAACAAATATATAATGTGATCCTTTTTATAGTGTTTGGATCCATAGGGATAATATAGTTATATATATATATATATCATTATTATTATTATTACTATTATTATGATTATATATGATTATTATTATACTGGACCTTGGAGTATCTCAAAATGAAGCTGTGATATATACTGGTTGGTGGTTGACCTACCCCTCTGAAAAATATGAGTTCGTCAATGGGAAGGATGACGTCCCATATATGAAATGGAAAATAAAACATCTTTGAAACCACCAACCAGAATATATTATAGACATATATTCAGACATGTTATATACCACACTCAAGGCATCATAGAATTCATAATTCTAAGATTTACTCATAGCTGATGTTTGATCAACTCAAGGTCCGTGGATTGTATTTTTTGGGGATCAGCCTCACTCTCCATCCGCAGAAACCATGTTCCGCCCATGGATTTGCCCAATGGTTTGCCAAACAAAACACCACGTGACCATGTGTAATCTCGTATGTTATACATAATATGTTATACATTGTTATACCCCATGTTCAGAGCCCAATAAGGTGTGTCAATGTTTCAGGTGCCCACAGGCTTTCTTATGCTTTCTTCCAAGGGGCCCGAATCTCAATCTCCGTGAAGCTCTTGGTCGTGCCAGGGAACTCAGTTCAGCGATTTCCGGAGGAGTTTTTTGATCAACGATGGGAAAGTTCCGAAAACAAATCCATTTGCCATGGTTGATACCCAAAGGGTGAATTATCGTGAGCTATTTGCGAATAGCTATGACTATGGTATGAAAAAAACTCACAAGTTCCGTGCATAGTACTTAAAATGTTAACCAGGGCATGCCAGCCTTATTTTAATATCAACATGAGTGATGAACACATGGTTTGGTACATGCTCAGTGCCATCTTCACACCGGATTCAACTCGATGACTAAGGGCAAATTTCAACATTACCCACCAACCAGGTTTATTCACCAGATGCTCCATGTATGGAATATTTATCTACAAAACTGGGCCATTGTTTGGGGTAAATGTAGATATTCCATGCATGGAGCATCTGGGCTTTTGGGTCACCGAAATGTGACTTGGTTGAATCAGCACCAGCACGTGGAACTGAAAACGCGCCAGTGGGAGCTCTCCAGTGCCAAGAAAAGGGATCAAATGATCCTCATAGTCAAAGCAAAGCAACATGTACTACATATCTAATATTAAGTACATATAATTAATCAATCATTAATCTAGTTAATTAATGTTAATTAATTGATTAATCAATCGAATCTAATTAACTCATTAATCTGGTTAATTAGTTGAGAAATCAATCAATCCGTATATCCAAAGTTATTATCAACCACTCAAAGTGAACTCAACGTTCAAACTCTCCTGTCCTCCGGCAACCTCTCCCCCGGCGAAATCTGGGCGCTGGGACGGAACCGTTCTGGAAGACGCGTTGAGTGAAGTAGATGTAGCCGTGCACGTCGATGGCCTGAGGCTTGGGGAAATGGCAGCGAACAAAAAAAAAAGGTTTCACCATGCGTTACTCATTTGGATTCTGAATATGGCATATAGTGACTTTCATCTGGGTTTCATATTCTCTAAAATATTTAGCATCATTTGCCCTCTTATTTAATAGCCATTTGGCAGGTGCAAACCATTTTTCAGACGTAGCAACACTGAGTTATCACCTTTGGTTACAAGATTCGAAACCATAAATCATCGTAACCCAACATGGCCATAGTACATCAAGCACCTTGGCCAAACATCTTAAAGGAATGATGTGTTACAGTGTTGATATTCATGGAATTATATGGAAATATGATATCCTAAAATGGGAGTGGTGTGTTAAACAACCCAAAATGGGAATTATATGGAATTGATCATGGATGTGTCATGATATTTTTGCCGTTTTCGAGAAAACAAACAAAAAGGTGACCCCAGGAAAAACTGTTGGCCGACACAGCATCGTTTCTCGTACGTAGGATGGGGGTTTGCGACCAGGACCAGGGCACGCGGGCACGCCCAGTGACAGTCTCTGTGATGTTGAAGTCATAGCTGACCCTTAGCACCTTAGCACATGCCCACCTCATTCCGGGGGTTGTTTTGGGGCTCGAATCCTGATGCTGACATCTTGACCTAAGGAGATCAATCAGAATCAAGCAATATCATCAATCAGTTCCAATCATATTTGTTGGATGATAATTTAGTTATCAAGTAAAACAATAACTAGCATATGAACTAGTATGCACAATTATTTGGTTAGCATGGTTTAGTTAGCTATTAGATGACTGTTTAGTTGATTGATCTGGATCATCATCATTAGTAGCACGACTAGGTCACTTGGTTTATAGTTAATTCAAATAATTACTATATTTGATGATCATTTAGTAAACTATTGGATAATTGCGGATGAATATTGGAATATTTGAACGTCCCCATATCAACGGTGACGTTCTTAGTATTGCTCAACTCACTCGCTGTCCCGTCTTCCCCCAGTGGGAAGTTGCCGGTAGCAAATGCCCTGCCCTGACACTCGTATGTAGATCGGTAGATAGATGGACGGATAGATAGACAAAACAGATAGATGGATAGATAGACGGATAGATCAATAGATGGATGGATAGATGGCTACATAGATGGATACATAGATGGATAGATAGATAGATAGGTGGGTAGATAGGTAGGTATATAGATAGGTGAATTGATAGGTAGGTATATAGGTAGGTAGGTAGATAGGTGGATACAAGTGGGTAGACCAACAGATTACAATAGATGGATAGAGCAATAGGACAAATGACTAGATAAATTTGAGATAGACAGATAGATTAGACAGATTACAATCAGATTACAGTAGATGGATCAGCTAGACTAATTAGATCGATTAGATCAATTGGAATGATTGGACCCATGATTGGATCGATGGATCATGGATCACTACTTTCAAGCAACATCCAACGACGATTTCAGCATTTTGGGAGATGGCAACCGTCATGGGTCAATCCCTCTGGTGCCATGGACAACTTCAATATATGGTTAATATGTGGTTAATATACTCTGAATAATGGATAATATATGGTTATTATATGGTGAATGATGGGAAATAATAATCTGGCGTGTGTTTTTTCCCTAAAGCCGCTGAAAAATGATGGAGTGAGTTCGTCAGTTGGGATGATGACATTCCCATTCTTATGATGGGAAAAAAAACATGTTCCAAACCACCAATGAGATATGGTTTTCCTATGGTTTTCCACTGATGATCACCTTCCATAGCTATAACCACCAACCAGTCTGAATATTGATGCCACTTCCACCAAGCGCATCATCGGGCGCATCGACTCCAAGGATTCAAACGCAGGGAATGGATGGTTTGCTGGGGGTTGCTGGGATGATTATTACTAGTTATTGTGGATCATTCCCGAAAATTCCCTGCGTAAAACGCACCAGTAAGTCTAAGTTGGTAAACATAACATGTGTGTAACCCCATTTAAGATATCTAAGTATAGATATGTCCCCCATAATCTCTGGTTGTTGCATACGTTATAAACCCCACTGAGCTAACGGCTGCCCCTTATCGTATATCTCCCAGATTCTAGATGATCCTCGATATAAACGGGGAAGAGTTGGGGATCATTTACAATAATGTGTGTAAAACACTGCCATAAACAACCCATGACTGGGAATGGTAGACATACCACCTATAACAAATGGTGATGACTAGGGGGTGGTTTATGACATCGTTTTATCCACACTAGTCAGTTGTTTTTTCTTGGACCCCACAGTACTGGCTTGGTCTTTCTGCAAGCCTAATGCGGTAATTATATGTGTTTGGATGGCCACACCAAAAAAACGCAGTAGTCTGTCATACATGCAGCTAAGAGACTTCTGGAGCCCGTGTGACGTTCTCATTCACGTAGAACCTGCGCCCATTCTCGGCAAGTCAAGCAGTGTCCAACAGTTGCTGCAATAACTTTCGTAGCAGCAAACTAACATGGCAATAGTCCCTGGTGCATTAGCCCAAATGGATCCCACATGCTTAATTACCCAAATGGATTTTGCAACATCCGCCCAAAACGTTCATTACCTGATTCTACATCTAGATGAATTATAATAATTCACCGAGCAAAAGAAAAACATTGGTCATCTTGAATCAAACGTTTCCTGATATCTTAGCCAACAAAGCTAGGGATAATTCCCAAATATGTCCCTCTGGTTATTTGCCATAACTATGGAAACTGGCCCATAGAAATAGATGATTTTCCCAGCTATAAACCTCCATTTATAATTGATTTTCCAGAGGCTACTTCCCAAATCTTAGATGAACTAACCTGGTTGGTGGTTTTAACCATCTTGAAAAATATTAGTCAATGGGAAGGATTGTCCCATATATTATGGAAAATCGAGTCATGTTTGAAACCACCAATCAGTAACCATCGACACCGGCCAGGTGAACTCGGTTTCCACACCTCCAGCCAGACTGATTGGTATCCAAGATGGGCCTCGACCGGACCGCCAAACTGATTGGTTTAACGTATCCAATAACCAGTGATGCTATATCCAACCAGTGTTTTTTGAAAAAACATGTTTTATCCAACCATTTATAGTATACCAGGTATTAAGCATCCCACCAGTGTTTTTTTCCTGATATATTGTGATGCTATACATAGTACTATAGAAAGGGAACCGCTGTGAAGAAAGGGCTCGGAAATGCCAAGATGCCAAGAAGCGCCTCGCAGGCGCTTCTTGAATGTGTGATATCACACGGGAAGACACCAAAACAGGAAAGACAAAAATATAGAGACAGACACAGAAAGAAACGGCGGCAGAAGCACAAAAAAGATTGATAGATTCGATAGATTGGATAGATTAAATCAGGCAGATCAAAATACAGTAGATTAAACACGACCAAATGAACACATACGACCTGACTTCCTGGAAATCCCCTGCGCCCAACTGGGCGGTTTTCCGACGACCGTTCGGAGCTACGAATAGTTCAGCGGCAGTGGCTAGGGCTATGAAATTGGCATGTGGAGTGGAGAAAAGCATCAACCGCGTTAATATCCAATATTGAATACCAACTATCTATATATATATATTATATATATTATATTATATATATATACATACATACATACATACATATCTTATAGATATTAGTGGACAAAACCACCAACTACACCAACTATAGTATTATAGTGGGCATTGATGGGAAAACACACAACGAAACTAAAAAAACAACAATCGCCGAAGATGTAGGCTAGAATTTGTTAGAATGATGTGGATCATTCTGGATCTCAATATCATCTGTGTAACGATTGTATATTTGGGATCCCTTGGGAGACAATGGATTATCATTGTCCATGGCCCTTCGCCCTTGTCCAATGCTCCCTCTGCGTCTTGATCACGCTGTCTATATGGCGGCACCGAGCGGCAAAGGGTTGTCCATCATGTCATACAACACCCCGGGATTGCTGGTCGTCAAGAAATACCTTGGCCGAAAGCGCGCTAGCGTCCTATTTTCGAAACTTCCGCCCCGGCGCGTGCCGGGCACTTCTGATATATATATATATATATCACGTTAGTGGGGATATATCACGTTTGTGGGGATTTACTTGTTCAAACATCTTATTATTTTTTTATATTTTTCTGATGGAAAACTTCAGTTGCACTATCAAGCAAATGAACGAATCAGATTATATATATATACACCATATAGTACTATAGATAATATATGTATATATATATATATGTACTGTGTACATATGAACTTATCAAACCATTACTCTAAGCAGCTCTGTCATCTCTGTATATATTATTGGTGTCGTTAAGGTACCTAATATGTATATATATACATGTGGCCTATGTAAGGGCTATTTGCTGCTTTACAACCCCCATTACATGGAGAAACTACTTCCATAGATCCACCATGAACCCTTCTCATTCGAGTTCTTGGGAAAAACTTTTGATGTTGCGGTTCTTAATGGGTGTAGCTGCAAATGTGTGGTTTCAATCCCTTGGGATATAGACTATATATATATATACAGCCTCTACAACTAGAGTTATCTAGGAAAACTAGAACTGCACCTCCAAGCACTATCCAGTGTCATCGAATGGGCCATGTTCCATTGACATACTGATATTCAAACGGTAGTTCTACCGTGTTTCCAGGAAACGACTACACTCAGAAAATGTGAATATATACAAAACATGTATTGTACTCATGTGCATCTATGTAGTTGCGTCTCTACGAGTACATCAATTGCATCTATGTCTATATTCGCAGTTCAGGATTGTTCGTGCAAATGCTTAAAAGGTACACAATTGAATTATCCCCTCTGCATTGCAGCAATGAATACTCCCCCTGAAAATGGGGTCTCATATAAACGTTCCCCTTGAGGACATGGGATTATATGGCTTTGTCTGAAAGTATGGCACTCCAAAATCATGTAGTTAAAGAAAATCATTGTTCCATGCATATATATATATTATGTATTTACTTAAAAAGGAGCCTGGTAGCCATGGGATTCTGCTGTCATGTCATGATGTCTCCTGGTCGCCAGGATTTTTTTTGCATTCTGTAACTTGTGATGATGATTGGTTATACAGTATATGGCAGCACATATCCCAATTAACAATATCCCATTGATTACATCACCATTTTGAGTGATTAAACCAAACTAAATCACCATATTGAGTGGTTAAACTCAACTAAATATTGAGTGATTAAACCCAACTAAATCACCATATTTAGTGGATATTTAGTGGTTAAACCCAACTTAATCACCATATTGAGTGGTTAAACCCAACTTAATCACCATATTGAATGGTTAAACTCAACTAAATCACCATATTGAATGGTTAAACCCAACTAAATCACCATATTGAGCGATTAAATCGTTAAACCCAACTATTTTTGACATGTCCCCATGTTTACTAACGTCGGGCCAGCGACGTCACACCACTCTCGAGTTCGCGGCATCCACCTGCGCCGGTGATTTGACGTTTTTGGGGGTGAAGAAATGAGGCTACCACGAATTATAAATGGTTCAAGATATGTTTTTTGTTATATAATATGGTCTATGATCATGGTTATATATGGTAATGTTATATATAAATGTTATATATGGTTTTTGGGGATGTTCCACCCCATTCCAAGTTATATGACTTGATCATCCAATATTGGAATTGGAAGAAAAACAAACGTTTGGTTTGACAATGTTCTCATCCAAAAGCTCATTTGGTTCGGGATTTCCGGGCAGCCCGCCATGTTTGATGACATCGGCAGGTACAAAAACTGGTCCTATTCATCAGTCCGGGGACTGTCGTCCGGGGCACAAAAACTACCGGTTCATGTTGGGAGATGCTGAATGTATGCATGCATAATCCCCATTAAAATGACTGTGGGTGTGTCCAAAAATGAGACATTTTACACGTCCCCCAAAAAAAACATAAACTAACAGGCAATGCCATCACCTTAGAGTCTCCTTTTTGATTTATGCCTCCATGATAATCCCATATAAAACCACCAAAAGTAATGGTTAATCACAATGATATCCCTGTTGCATTCCCATCATGTTTGGTGAATTCCTAATATATATATATATATATGTATATACAAATTTGTATATAACAATCCCGTCCCATGTTTCATGACCGGAAGCTATTCATTGTAGAATCACCACTATATACCGCCAACAGCATTCTTATGTTATATATATATATATTTACCATTGTATATATATAATATATACCATTGTATATATATGTATATGTATATACACCATTATATATATACACCATTGTACATATATATATATATACCATCGTATATATACACCATTGTATACATATATATGTATACCATTGTATATATATACCATTGAATATATATATATATATAAATACCATTGTATATATATATACCATTGTATATATATATATATATACACCATTGTATACAAAACCAACTAACTAACTAACTCACTAAATAAAGCAAACTAATCACTGCATACGGAGGGAAAACGTCCAAGCAAAGCACTGTCGAAGCAGTGGGTCGTTTCCCCATGAAGTCCTGTCCATTGTACATATATCATGTATATGCACATATATATATATATATATCTATATGTATATATTTTTATATCTCCCCATGTTGGAAATTACCCTGCTTGTGCCCTCCCAAAAGCATTGGATGGTGCTTCCGACCCAGCAATTGGGCACCTGCGCAATTCAAATCTGGACGGCTGACCACCAGGTTCACCACGGTGCCATCGATGAGTTTCCGCCTCAGAGCTTATCGAGGGCGAGCCACGGCCATTTTAATAGCACACTAGTACTCAAATTAGAGGTGCTTAGTGTATATATATAAATACATATATATATGTATATATATATGTATATATATATATAGATTTGTGTATGTAGTACAAAATTATACAATATAAGATAACATCCTACAGGATATGTATATATATATGTATGTAGTACAAGATTATACAATATAAGATAACATCCTACAGGATATGAAATTATATTAAATAGTTGAACACATACACGTGTAATATATATATGTATACAGTATTACAGAATAACACAGTATATCATTGTATAACTAACATAACTAAGTATGGTATAGTATATCATGTAGTGTAAAGTATAGTGTATAGTGGATAGATAACAGTGTATTGATTATAGTGTCCTGTTTAGTGTGTAGAATAGAGTAGGATATTGCATATCCAAGATAATATGAGTCCGAAATATCATATTATCCAACATTATCCAACCATACATGGGAAATTTCCAACCATACATGAACATAGGATCTATCCATGCTAATGTGATTCCGAACCATCAACCAGACATAATATCCAAGAAATAGCAAACAAGTCATGTGGTGCAAGTACGCAGCAAGTCTCAAAACTGTTGTCGTTATGGGCAGAATCAAAAGGTCCTGTAGGTCCTGTGCCCCCGTTGTGCAACCCATGGAAAAAAATCACGAAGTGTCAGTGATGGTTCTACCATGACCTGTAACTATGACTCTATAACTATAACTCTATACTATAACTATAACTAAAAATAACTATAACTATAACTCTGTGACCTCAACCAAAAAATAACTATAACTCTATAATCCCCTGGGCTGTGAATAGTTGGGAAGTACCATTGCAGACCCGAGGCAAATCTGGGAGTCCCAGTCTCTAAGAAACTAGCACGAGATATTCATCCTAGTAGATGCCCAAATACTATCCCCATATCATCCTATATTTATCCCATAGTATTCCGATATTGTCCATATGATTCACAATATCCGAGTAATATATAGTAATATCATGTAATAGCCATATTGTCATCATAACATCCGATATCTCATCGGAATGAGTCATCATAATATCCCACCATCAATCCTATATTCCGATCAAAAAATCTCACCTTTTCACCACCAAAAAACGGGGACAACAACAGGGACTTCGAGATCACTTATAACTAGTTAGTAACTAACTATAACTGGCTAACCCCAACTGGGTTAGGAACAAGTATAGGAACCTAACACCAAGTATGGGAACAAGTATAGGAACTGACCATAACTGGCTAACCCCACTTTGTAATCACATGTAAACACCAAGTATTACGGAACTACTACAACTGGGTGAAAAATGACATAAAGTAACTCCTATAACTTCTGAACGTTGACTGGTTTATACCACCATTTACTACAATGTGGGACCCCCTAGGTAGCTAGTTGGTTTATACCTCCAAAAATCATGGTATGTAATGGTATATAAATGTATATGATGGATTATGATGGTATATGGTGTATCAAGATATTCATGGGCTTCATAAATCACCTTATCACTGGGAAATTTCACAACACTTGCAAGGTGAGACCCGGCCCCGGTAGTCTGTTGGTTTAGTTTACGGTTTATATATCGAATAACTGTGGTTTATGGGGGACATATCAAACATATCGAACTAGCTAGATGGGCTTAACCAATCTCATATGGCAGCAATTCTTCAATTTTCATGAAGCAACGTCTCTGAATAGATGGGTGTACCCATAAATGAACCTTCAACGGGGAAAAAAACACATCATCCAGGTTGGATGAGCAATGCAGAGAGGGAACGGGGTGCAGTTCCAGTGGACTTTCCGTGGATATTCCACCATAGTCATAGGGCCCCATATCCCAAAATGGGTTTCAGATCCCATGGATAGACTCATCAAAATCACTCAAACTGCACCCTCAGTAGTATATAATTAGTCACTCTCTCTCTCTCTCTCTATACATAATAAATAAAAATATATATATATAATATACGCAGTATATATATATAATTATACATATAATTAGTCGCGCGCTCTCTCTCTCTGTAATCAAATCCATACACATGTAATCAAATCGATAGGAGAAGACCAGATGAAGCAAATAAGTTGAACAGAGGTAGGTTCCAGGGGGGGTGACCATATATATATGGCCCGAAGTAACCACCCCCATCTCTTGGACCATGGCCCATAGAAGTCCGGATTGGACGACGCCAACATCTGCACATCGATGCGAATCTTGGGTCCTCACAAGTCATGGTGAAAAATGGCGAAAACGTGCGAAAACGTAGCCTCTAGCAAATTCACATATGTAAGCATATATATAATATAACATATTACAATATACTATAACATGTGTATATATATATAATCTATATATAATCTATATACAAGCAATATGGAACAATGAAGTTTTGGAAATAGTTCACGGACGGGAAAAATTATAAATGTTCATCTTGACTTACACACAGTATATCCCTAAAACCTCGAACCTTGTTGAGCACCCATCGCGAGGGGGGAAAACCAAATCAAACTTTGGAGGAAATATAGAATTTCGGCAGGCAAAATATACGGTCTAGGCATATCGCAAATGTGGTGGCAATCTTAATTGACGCGCTGATGAGGTAGAGTCTCGTTTAAATTGATGTAAATCAATGAATCAATTTGGGACATGTCATGGATCTATATACTGTAATATAGACACATTGATACCAGTAGGTAAAGCAAGATAAACTAAGATCAAATGGGCTAGGAAATTGGAATGCACTAAACGAACTTACCGACTTCTCATACAGCGATAAGTCACCATTGTTCGCAGGTACCCTCTGGTTATTTAACATAGCCATGGAAGCCATGGTCCATAGAAATAGATGATTTTCCCAGCTATAAACCCCTATTTATAGGGGATTTTCCATGGCAAACTGTTAAATAACCAGATGGTAAATCCCATTAAATTCCATTAAACCACCATAAACCCTCATTAAATCACCATTTTCCTATGGTTTTCCTATGGTTAAATCATCTGTTAAATCCTGCGGCATGGTGTCCATGTCATCCCAATTAAGGACACCATGCCGGGCACGCCGGTTTTCCCCTCGACGTCGGTGCCTGAGGCATCCTCCACGTCCCAAAGCTCGAAGAAGCCTTCGCCCGCTTTGATGGGCTCCGAGAAACCTGCGGCCAGCACCGGCACCGGCCAGGGTCAGGCCCCAGGAGCGATGGACCAATGGTTTAAACCATGGGAGATTATCATGGACACTTCCATAATATGGGAAGATCATGGAAATATCTACTGGATAAAAATATATATCCAATGGATATATGTGATTATATATTGTATATGTTGTAGGAATAGTGTTCACCCATTATTTGTGTTTCCGTATATATTCAACCTTTCTGAAAAAAACAGCATGGAAATCAAGTCAAATGACTTATTTACATTATGTATATATTTAGAATTGTGATAATCCAGCATTTTCTGGGACGTGTATATACATATATATATATAATATAATGTAAATGATGAATTAGGAAAAACACATATTACATGGGGATTTAGTAGGATGGATGTTCACTTATAAACAACTTATAACTCATAATTTCAACTTGGGCCCCTGAACAGTTTGGATTCCAGCACTTGGACAGCACCATTTCGGGAACCCTGCGCTAAGGTCGAAGTCAAACAGAAACATAGGACCTAGGAGGACCTAGGAGGTGGCAATCAAAACTTTGTTACCTGTTTTCACTAAACTAGCAGGTCAATGCATGTTCATCACATACATAGCTGGATGAACCTATCTGCTCAAAAAAGATGCCGAAAAGGTTCAATGGTTTCCCATGGTCGAGCCATTGGGCTGCGACCAGCTGGGGAGCCGGGCTGAGTTGGATGCTTTCTTGCTCCGTGGCGTTGCGATTCTTCGCTGGGTGGCAGTTCAACCTCGGGAAAGGAGGCACCATGAAGCAACACTGTGATGTCCGAGGAAGGCGTGTGTGTATACACATGTATGTATATATATAAATAATTGCATATATATATATATTTATTTATTTATTTATATATATATATATAATTATATATACACATAATTATATATTTATATATATATTATTAAATATATATACATAATTATATATAATTATATATGTATAATTTTATGTGTATATGTAAATATATATATATGAGTTCGTTTTTGAATATCTTTATATGGGGTTTCTTAACATGAAGGATCCCCAGTTGTCACCATGGTTGTTTCAATACTCGCCGAGAAGCACATCTAGCTCTGGCTGGCGAAGATCGTGCCTGCGTGTTTTTGAGCCGGTGTCCCATCGTTGGCCATCACTGGGGTTCCTAATGGCTGCCATGTCTGCCTGTATAGAATTATATATATATACAGACATATATTATTATATTACATATATTGAAACATATAAATAATACCATATGTATATATATGTGTAATTTATATCCATACAGTATATTTATATTAATACTACAAAGATCTACAAAGATCTACAAAGTATATATAGATAAAATATCGGTTACGACAATAGAAAAGAATCCTCTGAATTTTGAGCCAACAGCCGTTGGAAATCCAGCCAAAACTCTGTTGCTCTTGACCCATCCCAAAATGGGGACCAAACATCCGAAATTCGACCTGTTTTCGACCTGCAGGGAAAGCCATGGTTTTGGGTTCTCCCAAAGTTTGGGAAACAGCCAAATCCGAGCAAAAACCGTGACGATGCTGCGAAAACCGTATCCAGACTTGATCTGAGAGACACAGCCAAAACTGTTTGTTGTTGCGTTGACATTAAAAGTAGCTTGGTCCCCGAACAAGTTTTTGTATACCGCTAAAAATTCACAATTTTAGTAGAACAACTTGATGGACAAGTGGATTGGGCCTATAGAGATTCTAAACGAAACATGGTCCGAATGATCTGATAATCTGATGACATCTAGCGAATCTACATCATAAACATCATAAAATCCAAAACACATATATATATATATATAAATGTATGATATATATATATATATGAATTAACATTATGTATATATATATATATTTATTTATCTATATATATATATATCAAATATATATATATATAAATACGATATTAAATATCCTGATATGTATCATATATATATATATAAATAAATCATCAGATTGGCGAATAAAAAGAAAAACAACCATCACCGGGGAAGGGGTCAAGTCAATTTGTCAATGGAGCCCACTTTGGCTGGTCATTGTTAATGAACCGTCCCCATGGTCACCAGAAATCATGGTAAAAAAAGTACAGTACGGGATTACGGGATTAACAAAAACACATCTTTGGGACCATTTTTGATGGGGATGTAACTAATATGAATGGGGGAAAGGATGGGTATTGTTCTCCTATATGGGTCTAGAAACATCTATGCTGCGGTGGGGATGATTTCTCCGAGATATCTGGATAATATGTTAACGATCAGGATAACAATCAGCAACAGATATTATCAGATAATACTCAGATATATCACTGATGACTAATATGTTGATAAATATTGATATCTATATCTGTATCATAATACTCAATTTCAGGTTGGTGAACTATCACTGATTTGGACAAAGATATTACTCACCAACCTGAAACCACCATCTGGGGATGGTTTCTACAAAAAAACATGATTCCAACTCGACGTCGCGCAAAATCAGGTCGCAACATAGTTCATCCAAACGTAAGTATGGCTACAAGTAAATAATATATATATATATGTAATAATAATATATATATATATATGGATAAATTATCTTCCCTGGATATGCATGGTTCACAACTGCGGTTCCAAGTGGATACTAGATATCATCTTGAACGATTCATGCCGCTACAGCAGGTCGCCCCCAATTCTCCAGAATTCCACAGGGCTCACGTGAACGAGATCATCGCCGGTTCCTGTGGAAAGTTGCCCAAAACATCCTGCCGCGATGGTGGAACTGCAACGTCCCATGGACCGCTTATCACACAAAATGATGTACTGTATGCTCATGGAATGTCAATGGCATGTTCTGTAAATGTGTCTGTGTATGTGTGTTTTTTTTTCGGTATATAATGTGTATATTATATATATATAATCGTATAGTCCACATTCACAGATGTGAATATCATTACATTCATGATTTGCCTTATGCTTCAAGCTGCCACCAAATGCGGCCATTCATGAGTGCTTGTTTCCATCAAGGCTTCATTCATGGAGGTTCCAAAGTAAGCAGTTGATTTTTTCTATATTTTTTATCTGGTTGGTGGTATACATACACCTTCTGAAAAATATGAGTTCGTCAGATTGGATCATCATCCCAACTATTGGGAAAAATAAAATTCATGTTCCAAACCACCAACCAGTTATTACTGTAAATTTTCACTTGCCCTCCAGTAGATCCACATAGATAATCATCTGGAAAAAGAACAACATGCGTAGGTGACTTTCCTAGGGAAACAACTATGGAAGGGAAATCAATCAAGCGGACCACTCTCAGCAAGTTACACTTAAGTGGTTAGTTACCTAGTTACCATCCAACGAAGATGACGACCCGGCCACGAGCCGGTTGTTGGAAGATAATGTTCCTCTAAACATTGGATATTTTGTAAGGGTCCCTAGCTGTTACAGTGGCTGAAGGGGATGGTGTTCTGCAATTATTTCACAATCACAACATCTATCTCTTGCATTGATATCGTCGATGGGTCAGACCCATCCATTCCAAAACATGTCATCAAATTATTCATGGCCAGTTGAACTGTTGGGGCAATTTTCCCACTTTGAGACATGGAACAAATAGGAAAAGATAGGAAAACATCACCAACATCTCCAACCAGCCGACTGCGCGAAGTCTCATATTTTCCACGCAAGCTCCGCGTCAGCCATCTTCTGATCGTGTCCTTGGGAGCAATAACGGTGTTTATCAAACTATACCTCTATCATTGCCAGGCTTAGATACAAGACACGTATTCTTGAATGCATATTATATATGTATGTGTATAATATATATATATATTATATATTATATTTCTATATCATATATATATCATATATATATATATTGAGTATTTATATAATTAATTGAATTAAACTTATATTCCTCCATCAAAATGGGCTAGAAACTTATCCAAAACTAACCTCTCCGAATAGCGATCCATTGTTCATCGTACTTGGTGAGTAGGCCCGTAGGCATTCAAATGCAGGTCAATTCATGCGAAGAAAAATGTAAGATACCTCATTGCATATATATATATATTATATTATTATTATTATCATACTTAGTAGTTCTCATGCATTCTCATGTCAATCTCAATGAACGTCATGTAAGCAAACCTTTTGAAGCTGGAAAAGTTTGATAAAACCTGCCGGAATCTGCTTGGTTCCACCATTCGTTTCATCCCCGAAAGTGCTAAACAAATCCCCAAAACGAAAGTGCTAAACAAATCCCCAAAAAGATGAAGAACTTTATGTTAGAATCTGTATTTGAACTGAAAATAGTGGTTTTTGTATGTTTTTGTCATAGTCCCATCCCCCCTTTTTGCACCAAACGAATTATGGTCCCAAATTTCAATCTTATCCCCGGATCCACCAGGGTAACCCGAGGATCAATTGGATCAGGGCCATTGGGACCTCCTCAAAGGTGCAGCAGTATCCTGGGTCTCGGCTCGGGAAATCCATGGCTGGGACATCCTCCTTTGCCTAGAAATGGAGCTACTTACAGGAGAGTATATATAGGCATATAGGTTATGTATCCCACCACGACATACCGTGGAATTCCCTTCCCATCATTATAGTTGGTTGATCCCCAGTATGCTGATAGATGTATGTATGTATATATATATATACATTGCTAAAATGCGTGTGTATGTATATATATATATATATAAAAATACATCCTGCCATTGATTCATGTATTCTGACATGAATCATGACATGTATTGTGTTGCATATAGACTGAAATTACCATTCCGCTATTCTGACGTCACGGATGACACATAGACTCACTGATGTCACGAAATCAAGGTTTTGCTGGTCAAAACCTCTCGTTTGGTGTTGATATCCCAACCATGATATATTGTCAAATCCCCAGCTTGAATGATTGAAATCAACGCCCAACTTGGATTGTTTGAAACCAACCAGCTTCGGGTTTTGGGTCTCTTTAGATGTGCACATTGGTCAATTCCCACAGTTTAATTCTTGCTGAAATCCCTATCATTTTCTGTTTCAATCACCATTTTTTTACATCCACTTGCAGCTCCATTTTTGTTGCTTAAAGCCAGAAATTCTGGCTGCTTACCATCATGATTTTTGGCTGTTCAACCTGCATCCTGAAAGCTCCATTCTTGCTGGATTTTCTCCAGTTTGCCAACCATAGTATGGAAATCCATGGATTCAGTTTTCTTGGATTTTCCATCGGATTTTCCATACCCATAGGATCCATGTATGCTATATATGGTAACATTTACCATCAATATACCCCCAATGTTAGCATATATACCAGCACCATGGATCCGTCATGGGATATGATGTTAGTTTTTGGGTCGAGGCCGCCGCGCCTAGCAGTTCTGAAACGGTCACCTCGCCGTAGCTGCGCAGGGCTGAGGCTAGGTCCTGCCGGGAGGCTAGGTCTCACCGTTTTGACCCGGCCATGTCTCGATGGGAAGTCTGCCAATAGGACATCCCCGAAGAAACCCATGGAGGCTTAGTTCGCTGGGAAAATCACCGAGCCATGGCGTTTTTCTTTTCAGTGCTACGTTTGACTGCAAGAATGGTAGTTCAATGATGTTTTCACCACAAATTCCAGAAGTCGAACTGTCCTATGACTGGGGTGCTGCAGGATTTTCCTATACAGGTATTATATTCGTTTATAGCTATATCATTCATATCCCCCAGTACGTCCCTTAAAAATGGTTCTTTATCACTGTCAATCTTGCATTGTCCCCGGGAATTGAAAGTTAGTGCAGTTAGCCCATCCACTTACCATGCCTGGGATGCGCGACTCAAGGTAATTCTTAACCATCCCTAATTCAACTACCATATATCCTATATGTATATATCCTGGCTTGTTGGGTATATCCCTCTCACATCTCATTCTATCCCCAGGATATTCGAATTATAGCCCGATTCGAATGCTGGTTCTATACCCCAGCATCTTCCGACGATCTCCCCATGATCTCCCCCATTACATCTCAGTTATATCTCAATTATTATACCTCCATTAGATCAAATTATGTGGCAATGGATCAATACCTATCAATCCTACGATACCATAGCTAAAATATCACAACATATCCCCATTATATCCACATGTGTGTTTATCCTCAGTATGGTTGCTTATATCCCTGTTGTTGTTGGTTTGATTTCCCTATTCTTATTGGCTGCAATTATTATTGGTTGCATACCTATCATCTCCAAATCAAGTACATTTATGTTGGTTAACCAATGATGCGTGCTTATATCCCTCAGTTATCCCCAAATGGTCCACCATCATCTGCATCATATCACTATATGATTGCTATTTATTGCTTACATCCCTAAGTTCTCCCATCATGTCCCCATCATATCCCCATCATATCCCCACACTGAACAGGCTCTCAACAGTTATGGCCCTGCGATGAAATCACTCTTGTAACAAAGGTTATACACAGTATATGTGTATATCACCTAATTGAGCTTTCTTCAGCCAGATATACCTGGATATAGGGCCATAACTGCAGTATTTTGAGGGGAACTTCAACCATTTCCAGATCATGTCTATTTCCAGCTTTACCACTGCCATAAATCGTTTTACCACAAAAATCCATCAGCCAGTTTTGTATAAAGTAAGGCCTAGAATTCTAGGTGATTTCCGGTTTTTACCATGTTCCCCACCTGCCAGGTGAGGGTTGTTAGATTTTATGTCAGTTGCCTCCTCGTCCTCCTCCTCCTCCTCCTCCTTCTCCTCGTCCTCCTCCTCGCCTCCTCCTCCTCGTCCTCCTCGTCGTCCTCGTCGTCCTCGTCCTCCTGCTCAACTGCGACTCGCGATCCACAGTGTTCGCTGTCGGACCTCAACCACGACCATCCACGCCCAGTGTTCCCTGCCGGACCTCAACCGCGACCATCCACGCCCAGTGTTCCCTGCCGGACCTCCACCACGACCATCCACGCCCAGTGTTCCCTGCCGGACCTCAACCACGACCATCCACGCCCAGTGTTCCCTGCCGGACCTCAACCACGACCATCCACGCCCAGTGTTCCCTGCCGGACCTCAACCACGACATCCGCGCCCAGTGTTCCCTGCCGGACCTCAACCACGACCATCCGCGCCCAGTGTTCCCTGCCGGACCTCAACCGCGACCATCCGCGCCCAGTGTTCCCTGCCGGACCTCAACCGCGAGTATCCACGCCAAAAGATATGCCACATAGAGTGCCAGAAGATATGCCAGATAGAATGTTAGAAGATATGCCAGATAGAATGCCAGAAGGTATGCCAGATAGAATGCCAGATAGAATGTCAGATAGAATGCCACAAGATATGCCAGATAAAGTGCCAGAATGTTTGCCAGATAGAATGCCAGCAGATTTGCCAGATAATATGCCAGAAGATATGCTAGATAGAATGCCAGATGGAATGCCAGAAGATTTGCCAGATAATATGCCAGAAGATATGCCAGATAGAATGCCAGATGGAATGCCAGAAGATATGCCAGAACATATGCCAGAAGATATGCTAGAAGATATGCCAGAACATCTGCCAGAAGATATGCCAGAACATCTGCCAGAAGATATGCCAGGTAGAATGCCAGAAGATATGCCAGATAGAATGTCAGATCGAATGCCAGAAAATATGTCAGATAGAATGCCAGAAGATTTGCCAGTAACAAAATATATAAATGTCATGGTGGGGATCACACGAAGTAAAGTATTTTTTTTCCCATGATTTTATTGATTTCCCATGCTTTTCCTCTGCTTTTCCTCTGGTTTTCCCATAGTTTCCCCATGGTTTCGTCAGAACTCCTCCGCCGTGGCCCTCTCGGAGGCTTGCGGCCCGTGCCAGGTGCGACGCACCACCAGAACGAAGGCTTGGCCCTTGGGAGACCTGACGATGAAAAAACACCCCGACACCGATGTCCGGGGAGTCTCCGGGATATGGTGTGTATATATATATATATATATTATATATATTATAATATTATATATATATATTATATATATATATTATAAATATATATTATATATATATATATATTATATTTTATATATATATATATACCTTGACCCTCCGAACGCGCAAAATTCGCAGGGTGGCACTTAAAACCCAGGGTTTCAAAACAAAACCCAGGGTTTTTCTATTTCCACAAATTTCAAGACCATGCCCCCAAATGCTCTGATTTTATTAATGCAGTGGGTCCTCAAAAAGTGTTGCATTTCTGTCCAATCTACTGGTCATCGACGCCCAAACACAAGCCCAAACACAACAAAAACATATTATATGTTCACCAGCTCCAAGGGGTTCCAACCCATGTTTTATATCATGGGTGCACACGGGTAAATCACGGGTTGAACATGGGTTGAACACGGGTTAGAGAAAACCTGGTTATTTTCAAAATACACGAGGTTTAGCCTACAAACCCTGGGTATTCCTCAAGAAAACACGGGTTGACACAGGTAAATCACGGGTTGAACACGGTTTGCTAGAGGCTTGAATTCCCGACCCGTACTTTTCCATGTTGGGGTTGCGTTTTTCTCTACTTCAGATGTATATGTAGATGTGGTTTCCAGACGGTAAGGCTGAATGGAGGAAAATCTAAGAAACATATGATGAAGCAAAGTAGGAGAAGTGTTGGAAGCAAGCACTATATCGAATTCGGACAGTTTGTAAGAAAACCCTTGTTTTTTGTGACAAACCCAAGGTTTTTAGCATGATCACGGCTAAACCCAGGGTTTTAGTTTGCACCCGACAAATTTGTAGGGCTTGGAAGCTAAGGGTATATATATCATATATATATATCATATATCATATATATTATCATAATATATGTAACAGTATTGTAATATCTAGATCTGTATCTATGTCTATATCAAAATCTATTTCTATCAGATAAATAAAACTCACAAAAAAATAGTTGTGAAGACCCATCCCCAAATGGTTGAAATTATTTCGCATGGGCCTACCTGAGACATCTTCACCACGGTTTCAAGCTGCGTAAACTAAGCGATGAACATGGGGCTAAAGGATAAACATGGGGCAATACAAACCGCTACCACAATGGGTCTGTCTGAAAATACCATATACTTATGCAATTTTAATAGGGAAAGCTATTGAATAAACCATCCAATTTGAGTAGGGCCGCCATTTTCAATGCCAAGACGCAAGGTTTTATACGATGGCAGTGATGAGCTGCGGTTCCCACAGGTTGGGACACTTGCGGTCTATGAAATCGATGAAATACACCGGGTAAAGCTACAGTTTTCTCCTAGGTCTCTCTTAGAGTAGAGAAATGAAAAGGAGGTAGATCTTCTGAATACGAAACACGTTTGACTAAAACATCCTATTATGGGACCAAGCATACATGGGATTAGAGTCGCTTCGGGACCCGTCCTTCAGGACATTGCCATGTTGCAGCCAGAAGGCAAGTGAGCACCGATGGTCGCTGCGAGCGCAGGAACATCGGAAGAGTAGTAGACCACATCCTTCGCTGAAAACATGTTGTCAAACCTGGGGTCAAACCACGGTGCCCCAGGAATCAGCCTAGGGTAATCCTAGGGTAACCTAGATGTGGAAGCCATGGACCATAAAAATGGATGAAGTACGCACTAAAATGGTGATGTTCCACATTATGGGTCAAAAAACCCTGGTACTCTAGGTACCTCTTAAGAGCTGTTTAATGGATGTTGACGAACGTTTCTTCTCCCATGGCCATGATCCATCCCCTGTTGCCCCAGCTCCCTGGTCTCCAAGAATCCGCTGCTACCAGGCGCTGAAAGCGTTCCACCTCGCCAGGGTCATCCAAATAGTCGTGCCAGTCGATATGTCGCACCTGCTGATCGACCAAAACAGAAGTCGGGGCTCACCATTCAGGATAAACACAACTGTATCCTCGCCAAACAAATTATCAAATGTCTACGTATACATACGTGTATATATATATATATAGTATTTATATTATGTATATATATATATATGTGTGTATATGTATATTATGTATATATTATGTATATATTATGTATATATTATGTATATATTATGTATATATTATGTATATATTATGTATATATTATGTATAAATATATATATATATATTATGTGTATATATATATTATATATAAAAAATATGTGTATGTATATATATATATATATTATGTATATATATTATGTATATATATATGATGTATATATATATATATATATTGTATTATTATGTATATATATATTATGTATATATATAATGTATATATATATATATTATGTATTATTATGTATATATATTATGTATATATATAATGTATATATATATATATATTATGTATATATATATATATATTATGTATATATATATATATATGGAACATCTACATCTACATTCTACTAATATATGTGGCTCAAGATCATTGACCCCCATTTTTGCAGGAACAAAAACTCACCCTCACACTGGATCCCAACGTGTACTCCAATCACTAAAGCGATAGCCGTAATAATATCATATCATATCTCATTTATACAGAGTCAATGTTACAGATCATCCATGTTTTTTTTTCTCAACTACTCACTTAGACAAGCAACATAATTCATTCTATAATTATAAGATTCTTACTGCTACAGTCTGAGACCATCAAAAATTATTATTTTTTCATTTTTTTCATTTTCATTTTCATTTCCATTTTCATTTTCATTATCATTTTCATTATCGTTTTTTTTGCATTTTATCTTCATTTTTTTTCATTTTTGTTCATCACCTATTGCCATCAAACTTCATTTTTTCTATTTGCAACTTCATTTTTTTTCATTTGCAACTTCATTTTTTTTCATTTGCAACTTCATTTTTTTTCATTTTCCTTTGTTTTTGATGGTTTTCCATTGTTTTTCATGGCTTTCCTGGATTTCAGGTGCCACGGGCAAGGAAAATGAAAAAAAAAATGAAAAAATGAAAAAAATGAAAATTTCCTCGAGTTTTTGAAGATTTCCTGGTTCGGAGTGAGAATCTGCAACTTTGAGTCCAAATTTTCATGTTTTTTTCATTTGCAACATTCATTTTTTTTTCATTTTCCTTTGTTTTTGATGGTTTTCCATTGTTTTTCATTGTTTTTCATGGCTTTCCTGGATTTCAGGTGCCACGGGCAAGGAAAATGAAAAAAAAAATGAAAAAAATGAAAAAAAATGAAACAAAAATGAAAAAAAAATGAAAAAAAAATGAACATTTCCTCGAGTTTTTGAAGATTTCCTGGTTCGGAGTGAGAATCTGCAACTTTGAGTCCAAATGTTCATTTGTTTTTCATTTGCAACATCATTTTTTTTTTCATTTTCCTTTGTTTTTGATGGTTTTCCATTGTTTTTCATTGTTTTTCATGGCTTTCCTGGATTTCAGGTGCCACGGGCAAGGAAAATGATAAAAAAATGATAAAAAAATGATAAAAAAATGATACAAAAATGAAAATTTCCTCGAGTTTTTGAAGATTTCCTGGTTCGGAGTGAGAATCTGCAACTTTGAGTCCAAATTTTCATTTTTTTTTCATTTGCAACTTCATTTTTTTTCATTTTCCTTTGTTTTTGATGGTTTTCCATTGTTTTTCATTGTTTTTCATGGCTTTCCTGGATTTCAGGTGCCACGGGCAAGGAAAATGAAAAAAAAAAATGAAAAAAATGAAAAAAAAATGAAAATTTCGTCGAGTTTTTGAAGATTTCCTGGTTCGGAGTGAGAATCTGCAACTTTGAGTCCAAATTTTCATTTTTTTTTCATTTGCAACTTCATTTTATTTTTTTCAGTTTCCTTTGTTTTTGATGGTTTTCCATTGTTTTTCATTGTTTTTCATTGTTTTTCATGGCTTTCCTGGATTTCAGGTGAAAAAACATGAAAAAAAATGAAAATTTCGTCGAGTTTTTGAAGATTTCCTGGTTCGGAGTGAGAATCTGCAACTTTGAGTCCAAATTTTCATTTTTTTTTCATTTGCAACTTCATTTGTTTTTTCATTTTGCTTTGTTTTTGATGGTTTTCCATTGTTTTTCAGGTGCCACGGGAAAGGAAAATGAAAAAAACATGATAAAAAAATGAAGTTTAAAATGAAAAAAAATGAAGTTTGAAATGAAAAAAATGATGTTTGAAATGAAAAAAATGAAAAATAAATGAAAAATAAATGAAAACAAAAAAATGATTGAAAAACAAAATGAAAAAAATGAAGTTACAAATGAAAACCCAAATGGAAAATAAATGAAAAAATAATTTTAAACATTTCCAATCTGTGGCTCGATGCGAATCATATAATTCTATAATATACCTGATCACATTAATGGATAGCTGTAATAGATATTCCATTATGATGGATGATTAAGTATGATAAACTATCTGTTATAATCATTATGATAAATAAATAAATTAAATCAAATTAAATTAAATTAAATTAATAAACATAGTCCACAGACATCTAGAAAATATTCCATTGTTACAGACACATCCATCCCCCAACGAAGCGCTAACCATCACCGTTTCAGAAGAACCAAACTTATAGCAACTAGCGTTAGCTGCATCTGTAAAATATAAAAATAAAAATAATAATAATAAAAATAATAACAATATAACAAAAATTAATAATAACAATATATTTAGACTGTATAATATATATATATATAATTTGTATCCCCCATTGTATCCCACATGATATCCCCATGTCGGTGGATTCATCATCTTTCAGCTTCGCTGCCTCGGCGTTGCTGATGTCATTGATCGCAACATTTTGGCGCCTTGTTTTTTTTCTGGGGGGCAGCTTAGAACGAGGTACGGATGGTACGGTGGCTAAGCCAGCATTTTTTCTGGGTGGTTTGAAGGTCTAAAGGATTTCACTCAGAAAAACGTGGGACAAAAAACCATGATTGGAATATCGTGCGGATGTGTCCTGGGATGTGTCCGCAATTTTCACAGGGATGAAGAAAGGATTCAACAGTGGATGGCCGGGGTATCCTATGTTGACACACACACACACTAGACAAGAATGGATCATTATATGATCCGGCAGGAACTGAATCCTGAAACATGCAGATTAGAAGCGAAACAATGAAAAGCAGGTACAAGTGGTTGATCAGACCACTCATCCACCGAAATGCCATAGCTTCGTTGGACTGGATAGGCAAATCGGCTCCAGTCCCCCTGCATTGTAATTGGATTTAGAAAGGGAGAGGACAAAGGAAGAAAAAAGAGAGAAGTTTTACATCTATTTAGATGTTACACACACACACACCCGGCCGGAGCCGGGTCAACCCTGAAAGGCAAGAGGAAGAAAAAAGCGGACACACAACGGGCAGACGGCCAAAACAGCGCGGGGGGGGGGGAACAGACGGACCTCCAGAACCAACCTACACGGCGAAACGGACCTGACAAAAACAGCGCACACACCTAAACCCAACGACACGTTACGGAGAGGCACGCGGGGAAAGATTAGGGACCAATGGGGAACTAGTTGATGCCAGAAAATAACCAAAACAATTAATTAAAACCAGGACCCAGTTCCTAGACCTACTGTTCGTGCGATTGTGCCACAACAGGCCCGTGGTCAAGTCGTGCCCCAATGGCATCAAACGGCTATCAAATTCCAACGAATTAGGTGCACAACATGCTTCACCTCACCAGACAACCAAAAGGAAAAAGACCACACCTGAAAGACGTGTGCCTGCCTTGTCACAATGTCTTGAAATGATGTCATGTAGCTGCAAAGGTTGCTGCAAAAACAGAGGTTTCTGGCAGTTCGAAGTGGCTTCACTCAATAGAGATGCATTCCACTGGGTTTATAAAGGACAGCTGGAACGGCAGGACATCTCAAAAAAGTGGCAGAACAGAAAGGCCAACTGTTGCGATTTACTTAGATGAATTACTAAGTTAAAATGTGTAAATTCGGCAGTCGAAACAGTCATCACTCACCCTAAAAAGGGTTGCCTCAAATGGCTCCATGGCACCATGTCGGAGCCACCATGGAAATCACACTAGACAAGAATGGATCATTATATGATCCGGCAGGAACTGAATCCTGAAACATGCAGATTAGAAGCGAAACAATGAAAAGCAGGTACAAGTGGTTGATCAGACCACTCATCCACCGAAATGCCATAGCTTCGTTGGACTGGATAGGCAAATCGGCTCCAGTCCCCCTGCATTGTAATTAGATTTAGAAAGGGAGAGGACAAAGGAAGAAAAAAGAGAGAAGTTTTACATCTATTTAGATGTTACACACACACACACCAATATAGAGACGTATTGGAAAACATGAGTTTCTTAAAACGGGGAATTCCCAAAACCATAGGTTTTCGATACTAAAATTGTCTAATGACTTGGATGATTTGGGGGTACCCCCATGACTCAGGAAATCGGCAAATATGAAGGAACATGAAGGAACATAGAAATACATCAAGTGACTTGGATCCAGTCTGCGGCTCATTAAAGATATATTGTGTCGTTATCTTTCTGTGTAGCATGGTATTGACTTCCAAAAACTTGATCGGCAACGACAGCATTGGTTCAAACGTTCATTTCCGTTGATTTGATAGTTCAGCAGTTGTGGTCTCATATTTGGTGCCAATGTTTCTACCATTGGTTGCATATCCTGTGTAGCCAGTCTATGAAGCTGTTAAGTGGAACGTCGCAAAATAGGATCATTCCATCTAAACACGGAGGACCCCTAATTGAAGCAGCCAGGGGTTGACACTGATACCAGTACGCGGTTGAGACTGGAAAAAATGGCAAATGACATGAAGGCATATGCAGCCTCAACTGATCACAGTACCCTTCATCTGCAATCATCGTATGTGCCCCTCTACTTGAGACATGTATCCACGTTAATATTGGTAAACTAAGAATAAACCACTCATATTTTGATGGTTTATACCAGTGATTTGGGAGCTGGTTTATTATTGTTTTACCAATATCAAAGAAGTTTCAACCTTCACTTGACGTAAACAATTTGATCGTCTCTATCAAAGTCTCATCTTGTGTTGTGGTTCACTACATGTTGCCATAGTTGATACGTATAAATTATACAGTGTCATAGTCAAATACTGTATGGATTTATTTTTAATGGTAAAAGGTAAAATCTCACCTGCTCATGTTCAAACACAAACTTGTTTATGGTAAAATGCCTGTTCATGTCTATGGTTCAACACCCAGTTTGATCTCAATATGACACGCTATAAGTCCGATGTTCTGGATTGTGAAATAGGCACAGTTGAATTAGTATGGTATTGACACGGCTGTCAGTTCTATGAGCTGATGTTTGGTTGCAATGGTTCTTCATCCACCGCATTTAACTTGTTTGTGCCCAATGTATCGATGCAAACAACAATTGAGAACTAGCCAGCTTGATCGTTTGATGTAGCTCCGGAAAACAACAATGTGTTTAAAACCTTGAAAACTCTGTATATTCTTACTAATACATGACCTCTCTCCTGATCAAAATAGTGGGAACTTATCTTCCCACAGTTTAGTCAAGTTTAGTCCCTCAAACCCTGTGTTTCAATATGAGTTTCCGATGTTGAAGTACAAAGCACACCTCCAGCGTCACAGCTTCTCATCCGCAAATCACTGCTCTGTCATCCCCTCAAACACACCATCAACAATTCCCATTCCGGTTGGACAAACCCTCATGGTTGTGGTTTAAGCCCATATTTGGAGGTTTTATCCCAGTTGACCAATATCACCGTATTTTTGATTGTATATCCCTGTCAATCACCACAAAGTCCTGAGTTTTGCACCCTTATATTCCATCATTTAATTATTTTGAATTGTTGATAGTTAATCATACCTATTTATACCTATCATAGTTGTCTTAATTTAATTATCATTGTTATTGTACCTATATATGATTGATATCTGCTCAATATTATCGTTGCGTGACTAGCATAGTTCCTGTAACCTATTCTTAATTGGCTAATCATACCAGTTAATGATACCTATTCATAGCTATTGAATGCTATTGATATTTTTTCTTACAGCAATTATTATTGATACATATTGATACCCTATAGTGTGGGTAAAACAATCAGTCATCATCATCACCATTTTTATGGGTGGTAGTTTTACCATTCCCAGTCATGGGTGGTTTATGATACCCGCATTAGTTAGATATCCCATTATTATCCCATGATTATTCCATTGTACCATAATTATCCTACCATAAATCATCTCCTAAAACAACTACAACAATTATAGAAATGATGATACAGCAACAATATAGTTAATCATCATAGGAACATAACACTGGTTGGTGGTTTGAACCCCTCTGAAAAATATGAGTTCGTCAGTTGGGAGGATTATTCCCAATATGTGGAAAGTCATAATCCATTCCATCGTTCCAGTCACAACCAATCAGTTAAATATACATCATTTCCCTATGGTTCCCCTATGGTTTCCCTATGGTTTTCCTATGATAACATAACTGACATCACCGCCGTGCCGCAAATTCTCCAGCAGCCGCGGTGGCACCAGGCGCTCCGGCGCCGCGATTTCTGCCTCGCCGAAGTCGGAGAGGACCACGGTGGCACGGTGGGCACGGCATAGGGTGAGACCCAACCTGGCCGAGGTGCGTGAAAATCAGGGGAAAAACGAGGATTTTATAGGGTCTTAGCCAGAAACATGGGAATTTAGATGTGATGTGTGTTAAGTTGGTGAGATAGCTCATAGTTGGCAAATCATCAACAAAAAGTGAAGCGTAGTGAGATTTGGGAAAGGAATCAGACCACCAACAAGAACTACCAGCAGGTGCCCCAGTCTTGGTTAGCCAAGTTGGCTTTATTACACACACTAATATTTCATTGTTGGGAGTTTGGTAGATAAATTCATATGCAATGTACGAACCAACAAACATAACTATCCAACAACCATACCCATGTGGAGGGTTCTTAAAACATTCCGAATGAGGCCACCAATTATCTCAAAAATATAATATTCCTGTTCATAGGTAAACTTGTCTTTTCATGCTGATTTTGGGGTACAGTACCACAATTTCAGAAACACCTAGCGATGACATTTGGGAGAGTTAGGCTTGGGCAGGTTGGAATACCATGTATCTTTCTCTACCTATTGGGAGGATAACTCTTCAGTGAATGGTGCAAAGTGGGGCCGCCCTCAATCCAGTTCGATGGTTCGATGGGTGCAACTTACAACCTGGGGAGCCACGTTGTGGGCCCACCATTGATCTTAGGGGTGCGGGAAGAGGACACGGATGGGGCCAGTGGTGACGACCACACCAAATAGATGTGCTTAGGGACCCAAAAATAAAACAGATTCCCTATATAGATTCTCCAGTCGTAGTGGATTTCCCATTGGGGAAATAACGGATCCTCTTCAGCAAATCCAGTTGTACTCTTCTTGTCTTCCGAGTCTGAAAAATGAGGTACACCTCCACCTATGATACTGGGGAGAATGGTGATATGTCATGATGTTATATAATCAATGGATTTACCCTCTGGTAAACGTTACATAACTATGGAACATCACCATGATATTAATGGGTAAATCAACTATCAATGGGCCATTTTCAATAGCAAATTGTTAGTTTACCAGAGGGTATACGGGTACATCCTGGATGGAACACCAACGGACCGATCATCTCAGGATCGGCTTAAAAAAACGGAACACATGTCAATGCACTAGGCAGGTCAGATATGAGAATACACATCATCTGAATATATCTAAATGTGTATATATATATGTATATATATATGCACATATGTATGTATGGAAATATATAGGCACTCGCAAATACATATTATATATATATATATATATATCATAATGACATATAAAGTCATAGAATATGATATTGTTACATTTCATCATATGATTGTGTTTTAAAGTAACGATCCTGTGCAGCTGCTGCCGTGTTTCGATCAGTTTATGGCTATGTCCAGTTTACGATACTGGAGTTGGGGACACAGCCCTCTGAAAAAAGTACCAAACTCAGCAAAAAATGCACAACTAAACAGTCCTACCGGAAGATTGATATGAGTATCTCTCCACATTTCTTCATAGCATCATAGCATCATATAGCATCATATAGCATCATATAGCATCATATAGCATCATATAGCATCATATAGCATCATCAGTTTTGTCATCGTGCAGACAAGTCACAAACCAATCCCTGGGGCAACGGCTACCCCGGCGACACCCCCGGGGGGATGATGCAGAAATTCACCATAGAACCCACATGAAAAACGACACTTTGGGCATAAAGTTCTCATCCCAAATGGTTTTGACAAAAAATATCAAACAACAATAATAATAATGATAATAATAATAATATGACATTATATATATATATGATATAATTATATTGGATGACCCTTGACTTTTTGCACTTCAATAGGAAAAATGATCAGCCAAGAAATCTTGGACTAAGAACCACCAACCAGAGTCTCAAGCTTGGACTCCCACACACTCCATCGGTGTAATATTTTGACCAACCCCAACAAATGACCCTAATGTTGGTAAATGTTACGTACATGGAGCATATAGATGATAATGACAAGAATCAACATATATTATGACCATATTAATTCAATAACAATAATATTATGCACAATACCTATAATGGTCATAAATACAATACCATATTTGGGTATTAATTCCATGGTATTATGACCCGCCTGGGGTTTGCGAAGTAAACCTTAAATATGCGAATCACCATCAATCAGTCTGAGTCATCTCGAACCATGTGCGAAAATCGAATACCAACATTTGGCTCATCCAGACTTGTCATGTTTTTCTGATTGCATCCCGTTCAAACACAACCAAGAAAGATCAGCTCCAGGACTTTGCTCCGGGTGGAAGCATCTTTAACTGATCCCAGGCCCCAGGGGCCCCAGGCACCCGGCGCCTGATCCCAGCTCCAGGACTTTGTGGTTTTCAAAGAGCTCAGGATGCGAAGCGCACCACGCAGACATCAGAATCCCACCATCCCACATATGCCTCAGCGTTCCGACGTTCCGACTGGATGATAAAGTTGTCTACCAGGCTACCAATCTCCAGTGGACCAGTGCGTTTTTCGCAAAGAAAAACGTTGGAGAACAACTTGGTTATGAGGAATTACAATCCCAGCAGCCAGGTTTTTTTTATTAGCTGCAGCCTCATGGCGCCAGAGGCTTGCCCGAGGCTCGGCTCTGTTTGGAAAGTCTGGAGGAACCCCCCAAGAACCGGGGCTCAGTTCACCATGTCCCGGTTCAGATGTTCCTAACACCAAC